TTTTTTTTTTTTTTTTTTTTTTTTTTTTTTTTTTTTTTTTTTTTTTTGCTCTCCATTTTGATTTCCTATTTTAAGGGTGTACACATACGTACATGTGTAGTGTAGAAAAGGAGGAGGGGGAAAATGCATGCGAGCCCAGGCCCAATTGAGTACTAGGGCTTCTCCTTTCCGCCATTTGCAGAAAAGAAAAGCGTGACACTGGCCAATGTACCTTTAATCGTCCATTCATATATGTGCATAGCTCTCCGTGTGTTACCCCCGCGCATCCCCCTCCCTTCTTTCGATGACTCCTTCCTTGTGCAAGTCCTCACCTGCATAGCATATGCCTAGTTCATTTAAATAAGCGTGATGTATTGTACTTGTATTTGGTCTCCCATGTGTGTGTGTGTGTATTCTTTAGCGATGTACTGTGCACCTCATTGTAGCACATGTTGCAGCATTCCGCCGGCTTCTCCCCCTGTGCACTCTTTTCTTCCTTTCACCTTCTCCTCGCGGACGGCTAACCCTCCGAGAATGTGTATATCGCTCGTAGTGTAGTTGGTTTTGCGCTCTGCCATACATTTATTAAGAATTTTGTTATTTTATTTTATTTTTTTTTGCAATTTTTTAGTAGGCCTTTTTTTTTTTTTTTTTTTAAAGTCCCCTAATTGTTGGCCGCTCCTTTCTGTTTTTGTTAAAACGGATTCATTATAACATCACTCTGTTGTGTAAACATCGGACTGGATGACACACCATAGCGTAGCATGTAGTAGCATAGGGGAGGATTTTTTTTTTTTTTTTTTTTTCGTACGTAATTGCCTAACTGGAGGAACCCTCCTCCTCGAGATGCTACTTTTTGTGGGGATGCAAAGTGTCACTCCGAACGCCCCTGGAGTGTCGCCCGCATTGGCCAGTTCACCATACAATTTGTCGCAACGCCGTCTTTGTGAAGTAACCACGTGTGAACAGCTTAAAGACAAGGAGACGCACAAGGGCCGTGTAACACGTTCATGGTAGGCGAATCGGCGCAGCGGTGACGAGGCCAATTGGCCGCATCGGCACATCGCCGTGTAAGCAACTCACCGCTACACCGCTAAACTGCTAAACCGCTAAACCGCTTCACGCCAAATGGAGAAAGTCGGGAGAAGGGCAAAGAGGTCGCCGCAGATTGAGCTTAACGAAATTGACCGGGAACTCTTCGGCGAGGAGGAGTTGGAGATCCTGCAAAGAGGACACGTGTCCAGCGAAGAGGATCGCCAAAACGAGGAGAATCTTGCGGACAGCGAATTGTTAGCTGTGAACCAAGATGAGTTTATCATTTTTGAAGGCGCCAGTAGTAATGAGAGTGTTACTAGTCGTGCAAGTAATGAGGGAAACTCCGACTCGGATGTACAGCTCATCCAGGAGGAGACCGCGCCTAAGGAGGGAAGTCCCCAGAGGAAGGGCGGAACAACCCCCCAAAAGAAAGGCAAGGCCAAACAAAAGGCTCACGCTGAAGAGGAAAAAGCACACCGAAGGGAAAAGAACAAACTGGAGGATGCAGAGGAACAAGAAAACCAACTGTCCAGCGAAAAGGTATGTAACTTCATGCAAATGAGGAACAAAAACATAAAAAAAAAAATTGAAGAAAATAAACTAATCACGCACATGCTATGTTGGGTAAGCCATCTGCAATTCTTAAACGAGACGTGCAACAACAAGTTTGCTCAAGCCTTAATATATTCTGTGTATGTGAATTACCTAAAGGGGAAGGACAGCAAGTTGTACAAGGACCCGATCTACCTGTTCATGTTTATTAAAAGCACATTTGAACTTGTCACCGATGGGAAGTCTTGGGTGTCTGGAGATCAGCATATCACGAGCAACCATCGTGGCTCCATCCTGTTTCGCTTGCTCAGGTGTGTACAAAGGAGAAGGGGAAACAACGTGCTTATCAATTTAATTTTTATTTGTCTTTGCAGATGCTTAAATATTCCTAGCCGTATTTGTTTAACGCTGCCCAGTTTAAAAACTGAAATTGATGTTGGAAAGGATAAGTGGCTCTTGAAGAAGTGCAGTGGAGAATACCACTCTGATTTGAGTAGAAGTATTTTTTACCGCGAGTTCATGAACTCGGTTAGTGAGGAGAGCAGTGACGAGGACAACGTTGTTAACTGCGCTGATGGAGGTGCACAGGGAAATCGTGATGACGATGTGATACTTATCGACCGGGAGGAATTTCTTCAAAGCGGAGTGAACAACTACGCGAATGCATTCAAGGAAGGGGACAATGCAAATAATGTGAAAGGTTCAAGAAAAGTGGTGAAGGACGAAACGGCCCAATTCAACATTTTCTCTGAGTGCTACTCGACCAGCTTCAACAAATGGGTTTCCTTCTTCTTCTGCTTTAACGTTTACTATTTTAACTTTGTGAATTTCTCCAAATATGATACCTCTGTTGCGCACGAAGATAAGGCCTTTCACATTTTGCTTCCCCTTCCGAAGAACCCCGAAGAGATAAAAACGTTCAGGACGCAGAGGAGGGCCACTGCCATGGGCGGCTTTGCACGCTCACTCTTCATGCGCAGGGGGGGCATGGGGAGTAAAAAGCATAGCGAAAAGGATAGCGACGAGGACAGCAAAGAGGACAGCGAAAAGGATAGCGACAAGAACAGTGAAAAAGACAGCGAAAGCGAGGCATCTTCAGAGGCCCCTAATGTGTCCGGAGAGGAAGCTTCCCCGCTGAGAAAAAACAGAAGCAGCGCCCACGCGGGGAGGGGTACACTTCCAATAGATGATTTACACACTCGACAGAAGCATACGGACGGATGTCAGGGCTCCCTAGAAAGAAGTAGCTTACCCTTGGATGGACCCATCCCCGGGGGAAGAAGCATCACATCAGTGAAAGATAACTTGGTGACCTCGAAATTTCAAATTCTGAGCGACGACCATGGGGGGAAAATGTACATCGAGAGGGACAACAAGTTTTTCATAGTTGACAAAAAGACCAAGCGGGTGATTCGGATTGCCTACCTGGAGACGCCGTCGCAGGGAAACTGCCCTCCAGAGAGCGCTCATCCAGAAGGGAAAAAATCAGCAAGGAGTGGTAAGGGGACGAAGGCGGGGCTGGACCCCCCTCTGTACGACTTCGAGCGGGAAGAAGAAAACAACGAAATAGTGAACTCGCTGGCAAACATATATAGCTCTGGGGGGAAGAGGAATTTGCTGCTAAATCAGATCAGGGAGTTACGTGTAGCGAATAGCAAGTTACGAGGTGATGCCAACAGCGCCAGCATGGGCAGGGATGTGCGAGACTACGGCGAGATCACCTATGATAAGATGGCGAACCCAGTGAAGGCATCTTCACTCGAGGGGAAGTACATGAAGGTATTCATAAACAGTAACGTATATAAATTTTTGTACAACCTGGACCATTACAACTTGTACATATGTATTAACCGATATGGCATCGTGCGTGATGTGAGTGTGCGCCATAAGCTGAGGTACAGCGCTGGAGGGAGTGGTCCTCGAATTGGCCAGCGAAGCCGAGGAAACAGCAGCAATGCTATCATTAAGGGAGACAGCAACTGCAACGCTGTAAGGACCCACTTCCGACGACTTGCCTACCAAATGAATAAAAAAAAATATAATGACTTTGAACAAGCATTAGACAAATTAGACGATGAGTATTTGTACAATCTGTATGTAACGAATATGATACCGACGGAGAAAACTGATTTTCTCAAGTCCAGTTATTATATATTAAAATCCATGTTGAAGAAAAACCAGGTGATTTATCCGAATGCCCCCGTTGGGCTGTTCAAGGGAGAAAATGTGTACTTGAAGGAAAACTTTTACAACCTAGTGAGGAGAGAGTACCTGGAAAATAAACACTACTACATTAGTGATATGGAGAAACCGCTAAGCTATGAATTCGATGAGTACAGCAAGGTGAAGGTGCCACTGTATGCGCAGTTTCAACTGAGGAGGCGAACAGAGGCGGCGGTGAACAGAACGGGAGGGAGTGGACTAGACAGCAGCATGAACATTGCGAGTAGTGGTAACAACAATGGTAGTGGTAATGGTGGTCAAATGGAACAAGTGTGTCCCCTTGGGGAGGAAGAAAACTTCGATTACATTTACAGCAGGAAAGATAAACTGCATGTACTCAAAACGAAGTTGTTTGCACACCTGAAGGCGAGCAACATCATCGAGCTCAACGACGAAGACGTATGTATCTGTAACGTCAAACTCAAGTACGTCATTAAACATTTACGGGGAGTCATCCCATACAGAATTGTCTATAACAACTCCTACTTTTTTAATAAATTTCGTAAAAGGCCAAATGTACCAACGGATGCTGACAAAATTATAATTAAAAAAAAACATCTGCCACAGTTTAAAAATCTGTATATATCACAAAAACAAATGCAGGACGAATTTTTACTAAGTGATAAAACGAAGCAAATCAAAAACCTGTGGAAGGTACTCTGCAAGAGTATCCTGTACGAGCAGGTGAACAAGAAGGCGATCCAGGACAGGGCTCGCAACAGGGCCATTTACAGGATGAAGGAATTCAACACGGACGTCGATCGGTATTTTCAAATTTGAGGCCGCCTCCACGTTCTTGCGTGGGCCAGCGAAGGGGTCATACAAATGTGCCGTTTTTTTTTTTTTTTTTTTTTTTTTTTTTTTTTTTTTTTTCCGGCTAGCTATTTCCGACGTTGTCAGCTAGCCACGTGCTACACGAGAATGTTATGAAACAGCGACAACGTTATCGCTATGGCCTCCTCTGTCCGTATTGTTCTGGATGTCTGGTGAGGGCACGTGTTCACGAATAGGTGAAATTTCTTCAACATTTTGCTCAAAACTTTGTTCCTCTTCTCCATGGGATAGCTTTTTTTTTTTCGCTCTTCGCGCTCCTTGATGAGCAGATCTTCTAGCCCTTGCTTGTTTCCGAACACGATGAGGATGGAGCTGCGGTGAGGTGACAAAAAAAATGGGGCAATCGATAGGTGGGTGCTTGGTTGGTCGAAGCTATAGCAGGGCCGCGTGGATTGCCACGCGTGAACGTGTGAGCATGCACGCACACACTTGCGCGTGGAGGAACAACCAACCTGGCTCCTCTAACTGCGTCTGTCGCGTCTCCCATGATGTGCCCGCGCTCCGAGGTGCCCACGATGTAGTCTACGTCCAGGTCAAAAACATCACTCAGCCGTTTTAGCAGCTCCACGGAGTAGCCCCAATACAAATTGTACAGCCTTGGAGTACTGGGGTTGATTAATTTTCCTGAAAATAAAACATTTGCATTTCTCCTCTGGAATAGGGGTAACGAATTTGGATGAAATAGGACGGTAACTCTCGTCCCAATATCCACATGGTTTACATTTTCTATATGTGCATGAGCAAACAACCCAACGTCCACAATGACTCCATTTGACTTCTTCTTTATTACAACCCCTTCACGAAATGGAAGCCACTCATCACTTCTCAAGTGATGGGGAGCATCCACAGGATTCATTATTCCTGAGTGTTTTAAAAAGTGAGTTATGGGGAAAAGGTGCTTCCTCAAATATTGGGGTGTCTCTAAATATTGTAGGTTGTAGTGTAGGTACTGACAAAGGTACGAATATTCTGTGTTTGATTTTTCTCCTTCTCCTTCTTGTGAGGATGAATGACTGCTTGGTCTCGTTCCTTGGTGCTTACTGCCAACCCTATCGTTGTGGTAGTTTTTGTCCCGTTCGTTCATCTTGTGTGGATGGCTAGTACTATGGGTGGTGGGGTGCCCACTGTTCAAATGCTGGTCCCGCCGCTCAAATCGTTCATTCATCATTTGGTCGTCATATATGTACACCTTCGAGACGGAAAAAACGGTGAATATTCTGGCCAGGTAGCTCGTCAAATAAGACTTTATGACATCGCTCCTGTTGTTTATAATGGAGGAGGGAATAGCTACACAAACATCCACTTGTAAGTTTCTGCTAACGTTTGGTATTCTCTTTTCTATGAACTGCTTTATGTCTTCATTGAGTACCGCTTGTGCCTTCTCTGGCCTCTTCCTTGTGTCATCTGTTTGGTGGGGTTGTGTCAGGGGGCCGTGCCCCTCACGTGAAGCGGCAGCTCCTACCTCATCAACATTCTCACCCTTATCACTAGGCTCATCATCGTCCTCACCGCCAAGATGGTCATCCCCTTTGGCGCGCTTCGCCTGCCCCGCACTTGCCCCCTCCTCAATAAACCTCTTCGCACTACTTCCCTTCTCTGTCATGACTCATACAATCATATTATGCCCTCCGCCTGCCCAAGCGTGTATGTACCAGCCTTGAAAAAGTGAAGGTCCTCGCGAAGGCGCCCCTTCTTTCATTCCTCGTTGGGCTTGTCCTTCCTGGCTAAATCGCCATCAGTTAAGCCAAATGGTTGAGGGCCAACTTCTCCACTCCCAGGTGCGTGGGCACAACGTGGTTCTCTCCCCTGGGGAAGCACTAACATGACTGCAGCGTTCAAGTGAGTGGGTGAAAAAATGAAATAAAAAAATTAATAAAACAAAACAAACAAAATAATTAAAAAAAAAAAAAAAAAAAAAAAAAAAAAAAAAAAAAAAAAAAAAAAAAAAAAGCGAATAAAACGAGTGCAGAGGAAAACGCGGCGAAGGGGGCACGCACATATATACAGTTATACAGTTTACGCATCCGTGTATGCACTTGATGGAGTGCGGAATTGCTTGTGGGGCTGTTTGTTCCCCATTGCGCTGTCCTGCAGTGCACACGGAGAGGAGTTTCCCTCTGTAAGAGGTGCAATAACGCAGCACATGCGGTCGGTTCGCAGGACACACATGAGTTGGGAAAAAAAAAAAAAAAAAGGACCATTTTTAAGTAAGCCCGGCCATTAGGACACACATACAAATGGTGTATACTTCTAAGTTTAAATCAACCCTTAATGAGGAGGAAGCATGCTGCACGTTCCAGAGTAGGCAAAGTGAAGGATAGCACCGCGGGCAGGAGCTCGGAGAAGCCCAGCGGCTACAAATCCTAACGACCGTCGTGTCCTACAAGAGATGCAAAATAAAACATACCCCCACTACAGTTTATCTAGAGGGATGGAACAAAAAAGGCATCCATGAGCCCAGCTGCGAATCTGTAGTAGTAGTAATTTCATGACCTTTCTGAAAAGCACGCACATCCTCGTGATCGCGCGGCATCTAAAACTGTTCTCCGCGTCCCTCTTGCGCTACCCCCGGACACGGTTGATTCTACATGATGGATGTTCCACAGGAAGATGAGGAGTACACAATTCCGCTAATATTGCTAATATCCCGAATATCGCGACATGCACAAAAAAAAAAAAAAAAAAAAAAAAAAAAAAAATAGCGCAAACTTGTACACACCTCTTTGCCACAGATGTAGTGGCAACAGTAGACAGCTTCTCCACCGATGCACTCTACCCACAGGGAATACATAAAGCTTATAAAATGCTCGAACAATGTGGAGTTCAAGAAAAACGAAGAGATAGACGCGCTGGAAATTTGCATGGAAAAGTCAATCAATTTAAAAATAATGCAGTACTTTGTTAACATAAAGGAGTTGTACTTGATAAAAAATAACATCTCTGATGTAACCCCCTTGCTGGAGTGCACAAATCTGAGGGTCCTATTTTTGCAAATCAATAAGATCAGGAGCGTCCTAGGTAAAGACAGGAGAGGTGACAGGAAGAAGAAGATACGCTTTTTTGTCCCTATTGCATTTTCTGTTTGTATCTAACGCTGTTACTCCAGTAGCGGGTGAATTGTGAGAGAAAGTTATGTTTCACCATCCGTTGGGCGCGCAGGCGAAGAGGCATTTGTCTCCCCAGTTCCATTTCGCGTTCACCGCCCCTTGTTGACCGCCCCGTGTTTGCTGCTTCCCGCTCACCGCAGGGCTGGGGAAGCTGAAGAATTTGGAGAAACTGAACCTGTTCAGTAATGAACTGACGGAGAGCGGCATCGACCTGGGAGAGAACAAACAGTTGCACTACATTGACCTGAGCGACAACGCACTAGAAAGTATCGACTTCTTCTGGTGCACGACTTCTTTTGTACATATAAATTTGGCCAACAACCGCATTCGAACCCTGGACCCGCTGCGCAATAATGCAAACTTGGAGCACCTAAATGTCAGCGGAAACAGGTTTGCCTCTCCTGCCCTGCTCAGAGAGGTGGCTTCGACCGGCCCCCCTCAGTTACGCCGATGCGTTCGCTGCCAACAGGCTGCCAACACTCCGCTAATTTCCCAATCACCACCACCACCACCTTGGAAGGCTCGAACGTTTTGAAGACATCCAGGCGCTTCGCCTGCTGCCGAACATTAAGGAGCTGTACCTCAGTTCGATCTACTACAGTAATGGTGCACGAGCATAGAGAGGCCGTGAGGCGGCCATGGTGTTAATAACAGCATCTACTCTGTGCGATTGAAGATGCGCAATCCACCCTTATACTACACTTTACGTTCCGCCTCCACAGGAAGCAACACTTTGGTGGGGAGCCTACTCTACAAACACTACTTCTACACCAATTTTCCAAATTTACTGGTAGGGGAGAAATGACAGCGAGGCACTGCACGTGGTTGTGCTTCCGTTGTGATGTGGGTAGACGGACAAGGAGAGTACATTCAATAAAATTTCTCTTCGGTGTGCTTCTCACTTCTAACCTGCGTCTACCGACCCCCCTTGCTACCAGATATTAGATCACCAAGTCGTGAGCAACCAAGACAGAAAGCTAACCGCGCGGGATATGGAAACACTCAAAAGCATCTCCGACTTCAAAATGAATTTTATCGAAGAAAAATATATAAAGGAAAAACACCACCTCTTATTCATTAACAACAAAAATTTATTTTACTTGAATGAGGTTCTATGGCCAATTCATTTTTACTTCAACATGCAGGGATCTCCAGTGGATGCTGTAATTTACTACTATTAATTCTAGACCTGCCTTGTTGTGGGTTTTTTTTTATGTCCTTATTTTATATGTGCACAATGTGGACAAAACTGCCTGAACGGTTCAGGAAAAATTTTATGTTTCAAATGGGCATCTGTAAATACTTTCTCCATTTTTTTTTTTTTTTTTCTGCGAAGACTACTCATGGGGAACACGAGCGAATGGCAGAGATAAAAAGGGAGGTATCTTTTTTCCTAAGTGCGTACACCTCCAGGTGGGATCGTCAGGAACGTGACGTGCAGCAAGTGTGGGAGCAACATCGCGCTTTGGAACTCCCCCTCTAATGATAGCTTTCCCCTGTCCCCCCCCTGTGGCAGATTTAACTACATCATGCGGAGGTTGAAGGAGGAGCGGGATCTGCAAATAAGATATGTCTCTACGTCGATGAATTCCTATTTCAACATTTTCTTCCAAGTCGTGACGAAGCAACAGGCAGAGTGAGCCATCGGGAAGAGTAGCTTGTCTCGCCTATGTAAAGAGATCAAACTCTGCATCTCTTCAGTTGGTTGGCTCGACATTGCGGAACGGAAAAACATGATTCGTGTGCACAGGGGATAAAAAGACATCGTATTGGGATTTCCCCTGCGCAGGTACGCTGAAGTCGAAGACTTACTAAAGACGAACTTCAGCGCAAAGTCACTAAAGAGCTACTTTGTGGAGGACATAAAAATTGAAAGCATTGTAAAGGTGAAGAAGCTCAACCATGGCTGCCTGGACGAGTTAATGTAAGTTGAGGTGACGAGAACTAACGAGTTCCTTCCAATAGGTGCCCACTCTCAACTCTTCTCTCCGCCTTCATTCGTTTTTTTTTTTTTTTTCTTTCTTTTTTCCTTCCGCAGCGAAGACCACCTGAACAGCGTGATTTATAAAAAAAATTTGCTCTTTCTGCATCCGTACAATTAGTAATAATATAAAGGGGTGATGGGATTTAGAGAGGCAAAAAATAAGGAGAACACAGAACGCATCGTTCGTGGTACGCTGTGCACTCCTGCCCCACTGCACACACCTCCAATCACCCAACCTCAGCTGCAAAATTAACGACCACTTCGATTTTGACGAGAAAGAACTTGTGGTGGAGGACCCGGAAAGGAAGAAGTTCTTCGAGAGTAACTTTGTCTGCTCGTGCCTCAGCTTGAGCCACGTGTTGAAGACAGCCATCAGGTAAGTGCGTTTGTGTGTAGGGGGCAGGCGACTTCTCCGTTACGCTGCAACTGGGTTGCCCTGTGTAGGTGTTCTACATGGCCTCGCTCCACCAAAACCCCGCAGGACGTTCCTCGCGGAGGATCAGGATGACCTGGTGCACCCGATTTACCTCAGAAACAGGGGGGCGGCAACACCAGCAGGCTCGCCAACGGTGGAAGTTTCTCCCTCCACGCCCTTCTCTCCAACCGCGTGCGCCAACACAACAGAGGTGAACCTAAAGAAGAAAATTGTGCGAAGCAAAAAGTTCGACTTTCCCCCAGTTCGCATATACGTGGTGGAGAGTTACTTCTTCCCGAACGAGTACAAAGAAGTGACAGCCTACAGCTCGTCCGCAGGTAGGAAAGATAATGAAAAAAACGAGGAGTCTAAATTTAAAATATATTACACCCAGTCAAGACACACCAACTTGAAATACATAGTGAACCTCAGTCTGGTGAGTAGCGGCGCAGTGGTGAGCAAGGCGAACTCCCTTACAAGGGTAGGTACAGAAAAAAAAGGGAAAGGGACAGAGAAAAAAAAAAACATCGACTTGGACTTCCTCAATTGTGTAAAAATACAAGATACCGTGGATACTCCAAATGAAACACATGGAAAAAAAAAACTTAAAAAAGATTTTTACGAGTACCTTTTAACATTCAAATTGATTAACTTCTTTCATGTCACGAAATATTTTATCAAGTTGAGTAAAATCATTTGTGAAATTAAAAAGTGTGTGTCGCTTCTTTTGGCTAGATGCAACTTGAAGCACCTGCTTCCCTTGAGTGTCAAACATTTCCAGGACAAGTTAGAAGTGACTTTACCTGAGCATGTTAATATATTGGAGAAGAAGAGGTTGGACCTTGTCCGCCTCGTTAGAGGGTTATCTGCAGGCGGGGCATCCCCCACTGGGGACACTACTTCTGTAGCAGCTACACAAGACGGGGCAGACAGCAAAGAGCACGCGGAAATGGAGGCCCTACACCTTAGCAGCTTCCACATACACAAACTGAACTTGCGAGTTGTACAGGACATTTTTAAAAACTTAAAAAAGTTATGTCTAGTTAATAACAACATCAGCGACTTGAGTGTGTTTTTTCATTGTGGGGACGAGGACATTGATTCTTTAGTGCACCTCGACCTTTCCTTTAACTGTATCGCCACCCTTGCCCCGATATACAGCAAATTTAGAAAGTTAATGCACTTGGATGTATCTTTCAATTGTATTTGTGATTTTGTCGAAATTGTAATGTTCAGTCGGAATCATAAGGAGGTGGAGTCGCTGTCATTTGTTGGCAACTCCCTTTATGTGAAACCCTCGCACCAGGTGTGTGTCCACCGGATTTTCCCTCGCATCGTATGGCTTAACGAGGTGCGCATGACGTCCAGTGGGGAGTTCGATTTGGAAGCGCACTCCTCGGTCGAGAGTCAATTGGGCAACGGTAAGACTTGCAGGAGTAGCGGCGAAGTCGCGGATCGTGTTAGTGGGATGTGCATTCCCACGGTTTACCACACTGGGTGTTCCTCCACAAATGAGACAATCCGCTCATTCTCTCCCCCACCCCCTGTGTGTGCAGCCCCGAGCAGTGACCAACACGCCACAATTCTCAAGGAGCCCAAGTGCAGTAACTACCTGAATAATGTGCAAGTAGTAACCCTGTCAGACCTGTACACCCCCCTTCCCATCTCCGATTTCTCCGTTTTGGCAAACTTGAAAGAATTAAATTTATGCAACAACGGAATGGACAGTGTGGAAGACCTCAAACTACCAACAAGCTTACGTACGCTCAACTTGAGAAACAACAGGTTAAGAGATATTAACTTTTTAAAAAGCAATTTAAACATTGAAAATCTTATATTGGACAAAAACAATCTTGTATGTATCGACATGGTGAACTCTTTGCAAAAGTTAAAGGTACTTAGATGTGCACATAACAAATTGGAGACCATCCCGTTAATGCAAAATGCACAGCTAGTTGAACTAAACATACACGATAACTTTATAAAAGACATTACTCACTTGGTGTTGATGAAAAAAAAAAAATCTCTAAGGTCCATAAACATTTACAATAACAAAATAAATTTTCCCAACCTAGAACTCTACATTATACACACGTTCAGAAATTTGATCATCTTAAATGACACATACATAGAGAGAGGAGATCATGTGGATTCATTTTTTAAAAAAATATACACTCTGAATGTTTTTCATGATCTGTACAACTTGTTTCCTCCTTACACCTCCTTGAGAAGTCTTGAAATTAAAAATTTGAAAATTCGAAGCATCATGTTTCGCATCAGCAATGAGGACTTTTCCAACTTGGAGCGTCTGGACCTTTCTAACAACTTTCTCAACAGCATCTCCAACGTGGGGCCGCTAGACAGCCTCAAGGTGGGGAGCGAGTAGGGGAAGCGCAGCGGAGAAAAAAGCATTATATTTGCTGCTTCTACCATGTTGTAACACTTAGGCATTTTCCCACCCCCCCCTTCTCCTTCATATGTGCCCCCCCCTGCAGGTCCTCCTCCTAAACAACAACAAACACATCAGCGACGAGTCCTTCACGGGGCCAGACGGAAGGAACGTATTGAACTGTTTTAAATCACTTGAGGTGGGGATTATGCAAGGCACTTCTCACGTGGAGCGCTCTCCACATGGGGTATTTCCCACCCCGCTAGCCACACTCATAACGAGGGGATGCCCCTTCCCCCTTTTCTTCTCTTCCCGTGCAGGAACTAGATATTAGCTCTTGCATGTTGTGCAGAACGGACTTCCTCAGCAAGTGCACCAATTTGAAAAACTTGAAGAGCCTCAACTTGGAAGGAAATAATATCCACTCAGTGAAGAGCCTGTCTCACTTGGAGAGTCTTCTTGACTTAAATTTGTCGAACAACAAAGTGTCGAAGATGTGCCCTGATTCCTTCCCCCCCCAGTTACAGCGGCTCGCTGTGTCCAACAACTTGATCAGGTTAAGGCCGCGATGGGGTGATGTGCTCAGCCGGGCACAGGGCCAGTCTCGGCCACACGCACGTTGAACACGCTGGTTGAACACGCTGGTTGAACACGCCCGTTGCACATGCCCGTTGCACACCGCCCTGTCCCGTCACCACTTTGCAGAAATCTGGCCCCACTGCGCACGCTGCAAAATTTGGAAATGCTGGACCTGCGCGTTAATCGAATCGACAACGTGGACGAGTTCATCTCATTAAGAGACATGCACACGTTGAAGATTCTCTACCTAAATGGAAACAGAAAGATAAAGGAACACTTCCCAAACATCAGGAACATGCTCAAGCAAGTAGGAACCTTCGACGACAAAATTGTGAAAGAGCATGAAGAGGTGATGCACCATATGTCTGAGAAGAAGGAATGCGCCAGAGGCGATCGGGAGACAAACGCGAAGGAGCCGCGGGGGGAGACTTACAAGGGTTCAACGAAGGACACCATTAAGGAAGACACCAAGCTTATCACTAGGAATATCACCAGGGATGTCATTAGGGAAATCAATAGACAGGCGCCAAGAAAAGGGGTGGCCACCCGCGCACAGGTGAGTTGCTCCCTCAAAGTGAAAAATGTATGTCCGCCTATGTTGGCGTTCCATTGTGTATTTCTACCACGCACCCGTCCTTAATGTTTCGTGCAGACTAAGCTGCAGCGACCTCCAAAGAAGAAGGACTCATTTGATGAGGTAAGTGCAAGTAAAAAAAGGAAGGACAACAGTGGTCTCTTCCCAGTTAGACGCCTCCAGCGCATACGTGTCCCGTTTCGTCCATCGGTAGAGCAAATATATATATTTTTTTCTCTCCCTTTAGCGAATTAAGAAAGACAGCTTTACCATTATAGGTAAACGTGCAAGCAAAAGCGGTGATTACTAAGGGAGGACTTCCTGCCCTTCCTGTAATTCCTTCACCAACACCACCATTTTGTGCAAATTGGAAGAAGCAACTTTGTTTGGGGTTGTCCTTGACAGTTGTCACCTGGTCACGCAGAAATGGTATTCAAGAAATGTCACATCAAATGTGGACTATCTTTTTTTTTTTTTTTTTTTTCTTTTCCCCTTGTCCTGTCTCCACCATAATATTAATCATCGTGGCATAATCACCATCGTTGAACCCTTGCTTTTGCATAAGGCAAGCGGGGGGTGGACATTTCTCAGCAGGCGTCTGTGCTGCAACGACATACCTTTATAGAAGGCTATGTTTTGTGTGCCTTTCTTCGCTGCCTTATTTTGGGTGACATGTTGAACACTTCTGGGCCAGGTTTCCCTCCCCGGGGGTGCCACACGGGTGGGGAAGGGAAGCCTACCACTGGTTGTCTGTACATACATAAACATAACTGCAGCGCACTTCTTCCTTTGCACACGCGTATCGTGAGTTGTTCCTCCCGCGTGGTGGAAATACGGATGGACACGCGGATGTGAGCTTGGACATGCACGTGGATGTATATGTATATGTACAGTAACATATGCGTACTTTTTTTTTTCTTTTGTTTCGAAAGGTTAATTGAACGGTTAAGTGAAAGCCATACTTTTCGCGGCTAATCCGGGGAAGGCTTAGCTTCCCCATCATATGTCCTTTAAAAAAAAAAAAAAAAAAAAAAAAAAGAGGGCGACTTTTTAAGGGCTCACAAAAGTCAGTTATACCAACATTTCGCCCCATCGAAGTTGGAATGGCTGCTGCAGGAAAGAAAATAATTCCAGCTTGCCAGGAGGCAGCAGCGAACCCAAAGAATTTTGTACGAACGTGCATGCAAAAAGGAGATTTGTGACAGCAGGCACAAAAAGCATGCGCCGCTGCAATATGCGAAGCTGCATATACATGCGGACTTACATGCTTGCGCGCAAGCGAACAAAGAGGCGAACGCGCTTCAGTAATGAACTGCAAAAAGGGAAAGCCCCTTTAATTTTTTCTTTCTTTCTTTCTTTTTTTTTTTTTTACAGCCTGAGAGAGGCAACCAAGGGGTCTCGTAGCGCTCGAAAGGGACAGCTTACCCAACATACAAATCCACTACATACACGTCGTGTCATCCCCAACCGTATATGTTTCCCCTTCGTGCGTCCCCCTTCTTGAGGGTTATAGTCCCTGAGTGAGAAATTGGCACGCAGCGCTTAAGCAAGGTTCTCGAACGTAGAGGCCATCCCACCATGGAGGGGGGGGAGAGTCAGTCGGCCCCCATGGGCCGTGCGAGTGGGCCGCAGGAACTTCGGGAAACGCAGGAAGCGATTGCATCAACTGCTGCGATAGCGCCAGGTGCTGCGGTTTCCACGCAGAGTGCTCAGGCGCTCACCGCGCAGCACCAGCAAATCGTAGACGCGCTCTACGACACGTGGTCTAATGATCAGGAGCGCAGAAAGGAGTCTGAGCGAATCCTGAGCCAGTATGAAAAGGAAGAGCAGTTCATTTTATACCTCCTAGACATATGCTGCCTCACAGAGGTGCACAACAACGTGCGGAAGTTGGCCATCATCTACTCCAAAAATTTGGTGAGTCGCTTCTGGAACTGTAAGGACCTCTTCCATTTTAGTAACGATATAAAGAAAATGGTGAAGGAGAAAATTTTGACCATTTTGGCCAACCGGGGCATCGTCAGCTACTACTACAAGGAGTTTTCCATCCTGTTGAGGAAGGTGGCGAGGTACGAGTTGGTACATAATTTCCCCCAGCTGCTGGAGTTCTTCGTTGAAGAGTTGAGTACACGTGGGGACAACCCGAACAGCTTCTCTAGCCGCTACACCATGGACAGCCTCAGCAGCCTGTACACGTACATGTACCTCCTGTACAAGGTTCTCCGGGAGCAGTACAGCAAGAAGTTACTAAAAGACAAGAAGGAAACCTTCCACATCTCACAAACGTTTATCGACTGCCTTTACCCAATATGGGAAAACAGTTTGAATATGTACTTTCAGTGTAATATGAACGAGGCATGTATGTGTGGCAGTGAAGGTACATGCAACAAATGCTTTGGGGAGTACAGCGTTGTGATGGAGCTTGAAGCAAAGCTGAAGTTTGCGCCAGGTGTGAGTTTAGCGGAATGGGTACCCGTCGAGGGGAGAAGGAACAGCAACAGTGTTGACGGAGGCGAGTCTAGCGATGTGCATTACGCGGGGGAACCGTCTGCGGGGGGAAGCGATGCCTACTGCTCCCACTTTAACGCGGAGAGCGACAAAAAGGTGAAGATCCTCAAGTTCATGGACAGCATTTTGCTGAACCTAATTATCAGTCGGGATGACGTTCAGAGGGAACGTGGGCAAATGTGCCCGGGGGGAGACAGTTGTCTACGTGATGGTCTCTCCCAGCAGGATGGGATGCCGCAACAGGATAACCACTCCCAACAAGATGGTGAGTGCGCCTTGAGGAAGAAGCCTTTTTTGGACTGCCTCGCCAACAAAACTATATTCTACCTCAAATTCGTGCGGAAGGATTCCCCGCTGTACTACCTCAAGTACTTGAAGTTCCTACTGAGTAGCTTCCTTCACGTCATTGAATTTCAGAGTGCCCTTCATGAGTATATAAAAAAAGACACCACGGAGCAGTTCATCTGCCTGTTCCTAAAGAAGCATCTGAGTAAAGATCTGTACATAAACAGTGACTGCTATGAAAATAAATTTGTGGATATCATTAACATATGCATTGGGATCCTGAAGAGTCTCTTCTACCATTTCTGCCTCAGTCAGTATAACCTGATCAAGCAAAAGAAGGTCCGAGAAAATTACCTAACGGTAAAAAGTATGATTAGCAATCAGAATACCTTTTGTGAAAACTACACTGAAAAAACAGACCTACAGACAAAAATTATTAACACCCTAGTGGTGAATATTAACAATTTGGAAAGTGAAAACAAAAAAGGGAGAGTAAATAAAAATTATACCTTTAGAGACATATTGACCTATATAAGGGAAGAGGTCAAATACGCACTTACTAGCGATGATTATATTTTAATGCACAATCAGAAGGCTTTGGAGATATTCGAGTTCTTGAGGACACATTGTATTAACATGTCCGCTGAGCAAATAATGGACATCATGCTAAATGTTAAAGACAAGGATGGACACGAAGTGGAAGAAAATATTTTCTACTCATCTGCAAGAGAATGCATTATTGAAATAGCATCAGAGCCTTTTCTCTTTTCAATCTTCAGTCACTTCTTCGAACCCTTAATTAATTCCCTACATAATTATGTTCACATGATTAAATCTGTACCGGACAATTTGAAGGACTTACAAATTCCAGAATTTTCTGAATCAGTTATTGAGCTGGATGGGTATTTAAATATTTACTATGTGTTGTATTCATCACTACATAAAAAAATAAAAGCAGAGCATATCCTTTGCATGATTCAGTTTTTCACCGACTACCTATCTGTTGAATTCACCCATCCCTTGGTCAGTTACCGAATTGCGTTAATATTAAAAGTGTGGATTAAGAATTACAAGGCTTCCTTTCCCTTCGTTGATGAAGTGACTGTGCTCATATTTGAGAATATCCGCTTGCTTTGCATGCATTTGTCTCCCAAGTGTGTTGTGGGTTCTCTGCTTCGCACCCGGTCCACATCAGGTGGCTTAGGCCAAAGGCGGGAAGCTCCTCCCCCGAAAAATCACTACGCCTCCATGTCGACCAATTTCCTCCCCCTCGTCTTCTTCAAATTTGTTTGTTTGTTCAACTACATATTTATGTATGAGTATGTGTACGAGAACTACGACTTTATTAACGAGATTCTGGTGGGCCCCCTCATAAGTTTGCTTACCCAGGTATGTCACCGGAGTGAGGACACGCAAGAGCTCAATTACATTGTACCCATTTGCTCATCCCACGTCTGACCCTCCACCACCTAACGCCTCTTCTTCCCTCCTTACAGATCTCCTACCCAAAGAGTATCCAGAAGATCCTGCAGATCCTCAGCCACATCGTCTTTATCAGCAATAAAGAAAAGGACATAACAATTTTCAAGGACAACTACAACTTCCTGCTGGACCTTTACAAAACCAGCAACTTCTCCATCAAGGAGTACATGCTCAACATCCTCGTGCAGATATTGAACAAGAATTACGAATTTGGATGCGGCCTCGTGGAGTTCACCCCTCAAGGAGGGCGAGGACGCCACGAAGTAACTACCGACTCTGCTCCATTAAACACCCGAGGTGATGACAACCACGGCCATGGTTATTACCTCCCCCACGGGGGTGTGCCCAACAAAGGGGGCGACGATTATGTACTCTTCTACTTCAGCTTTGACATAATAGCATATACCATACTTGGGAGGAAAACCTCTGAGCAGGTTTCACACCCAGGTGAAGGTAGACAGTACCGGCTAGACCTCCGCGCCCTGCCCTCGTGCGAAGGAGACAACTACCACCCCCCTCACCAGCTAGCCAACGAAATAAATTTGTATGTAGACCAAACCGTTAGCGACAGTTTCTACACACTGTGGTTGTGTATTCTGAAGATCATCACTAAATTATTTTCCGCAAAAAATGAGGACATAATCAAGAGGGTGTGTTCCTTGTATGTACGGACAACCCACGTGATAAGCGAGCACTTTAAGAGGAAGGTCTCAAGCGCGAATACGCACGAAATGAGTAGCTCATGCTTTGATGTGCTTATGGAATACATGTGTCTCTTCATCCTTCACGAGACGCACAATTTTTACTTGACGTACGAATCAATCTCAAACAACGTGCTGACTAACGAAATCTTGAAACCCCAATTGCTAGCAATTGTTACAAATAACTTTACCCTGGATGATGAAGGGAACACGGAGAGATGCATTTACCTTTTGCACGTATGCATGGGTTTGTATAAAAACAGACTGAAGGATGACATGCCCATTCTTTACCACTATGTGGCAAATTTTGTGATCATATACTTAGTGAAGGTGGTGTTGAAGTACATGGGAAAATTCTTCCCTGTGTATACGTGCCTTGAGGGGTCGCCCAGGGGGGGTAGGAGCAGCGAGAGGGGAAGCGAAAGGGAAAGTGAAAAGGCTAGCACAGGGCATCTGCACGGAGAGAGGGGTGGAGATAGACCCGCAGAGATGCTCTCCCAAGCAGAGGGACAACAACCGAAGACGGACAAGGAAGACGCAAACCACCACAAGCTCATGTCACACAATGAAAGGCAAACGAAGTACATATACGACAATGTGTTGTCGTATAAGCGTGAAGAAAATTTCGATACCCACTTTGGCTTATTTCAAAATGATCTGAAGCAGCTACTAGGAATGGAATACCTAAAGGACTACGACCTCGGAGCGGCCTTCAAAAATTATAACTTCTACACAGTCAACGAGGATAATTACACCTACGTGAACAAACACACGGTGCTTATACTGACAGCTATTTTGTCACTGGACGAGTCTAATCTACTCCATTATATTTTAATTTGTTTCCTAGTGTACTTTAGAATCAATGTACCAATGTTCCTCTCCTCCATCTTTTATCAAGCCCAGTACATACACAACAAGAACGTCATGATGGCACTCCTTCTGTTCATTTATATGCTCACGGAAAATTATCTGTTTCGTGAGTTTGTACCCTCCCTTGTTAGATCTCACATGCGAACCACCTGCAGTAGTAGCAGCCCTTACCTGGATGAACTCCTCTACGACAAGAAAAAATCCTCTGACATGTTCACCTGCACAAGGGAGGACTATACATATCTCATCATACAGCTGCTTAAGCTGATTAATACGATGCTAAACACGAGCAGGGACATCTACATTGAGAAGAAGAACATTCTCCACCTGAACACCGTTTCGTCCAACTTGAGCGCAACGAAAATGTACCACTCTGCTGGATACAACTGCGTCATGCGCAGAGTACTCAAGTACGATGACCTCCCAGGTAAGAGCATTGAAGGTGCAGTGGGGCTACGAAGCTGTTTGTCCCATCACACACACACACACACTGACTCCCTTTTGCATGCTATTCATCAATCCGCTTCTATCCCCCACTTCTCCCCCACAGGCGTGTGCAACAAAGCCCTCGATAACGTCCTGACCTTTCTACGGGACGTGAAAGACCCGAACGATCAGAACGCGACAAGCTCCATTGTTAACTACTTGCGGGAAAATGTAGAGGGCATGAACGTCGCCCTCGTCGACATGTACAAGAAGTACTTGGGTTATCAATAGGGGGCGACCGCGTACCCCCCGTGCGGAGTTGGCAAGAATAGACGCGCCCATGAGAAGAAGTCTTTTAGTGGAAACAATTTCAGGTGCAACGCGGAGAGCGAAATGGGACAGGCATCGCATGGAAGGACGTACACACGCGTGCACGCGTACGTACATAGTGTACCGGAATGGGCAAGACTAAACTGAAGCAGGAACCAAGAAATGGTGGAGTTATGCCCATGAGAGTCGTCAAAATAGTGAAGGCGTATCGCGTAATGGTGAAAGATAATGTGTTGTAAGGAGACAAAAAAAAAAAAAAAAAAATTAAATATAAATAGCTAGCCAGCTAGCCAATTGCTAAAAAAAAAATAAGCGCCACGTGTCCCACAACGTGATCATTGCAGGGAACAAATATCAGTTGCCCACATTTTCCAATTCGCCGCACCCGCACACAGTGGACCAGTAGTAGATATACAGAAGCTTCAGAATTATGAGATTGTTAGATTTCTCTTCGTCTGCGTTCTGCGCAACTTGGTTAATATTTTTGGGACCCCCCTTTTCTTGCTGCGGCATGACAGACATGAAGGAAAGCGGCACGGTGTTGCTGAGGAGAAAATCGTCGTCCATATGGAGGAAGAAACACGTGTGAAGGTTGTTTCGAAAAAGAAATTTTACAATTTTGTTGGACGCTGAAAATCTTAGGAGGACCATTGGTTAAGGAAGTTGGACTGAATTTAATTTACAAAAATATTTTCGAAGTTTTTTTTATTTTTAAATCCAGTTATGTAATTAATTTTGTTTTTTTTTTTTCCGTTTCATTACATCCAAGATGGGTATGTTAATATCGAAGAGAGCAAAGTGCAAGGTCGTTTTGTTATAACTTCGCCCTTCCGTCTTACTGTCCTTTCCCCCATCACCCCCTGTGGTGACAACTCCAATTTTATGAGAAAGATGTTCGTGTACTTTTTATATTTATTTATCTCTTTAAAATTTATGAGTCTTTTTATGTTTACAATTTTTTTTAAGTCAATGCAAAGCGAGTATGGCGCTACGTATTTGTGCCTTCCTCGTGTGTTTAAATATGTGTCCTTGTTCCCATGCGCGTTCGCAGAGAAGGGCCGTGAGATTCATCACCGGCAGGGGTTCCCCCACCCCCCGCTGTGCTTAGATGTGCAATGCTAAGTTGTACGTGTCCATCGGCATACGTTTCATTCGTCTTTTTATTTTTTTTTTTTTTTCATTCATTTACCATTTTAGTTAAAATTGTTTTTTTCCCCCTCGCGTTACATCCTTTTTTGTTTTTCATGTGCATCATTTGTGCTATCGTCTCCACATGTGCCTTTGTGGTTTAATCCTTTTTTTTTTGTTTTACGACTTGTTTGGATATGTGTCCATGTCGTTATTGGGGTACTTCAATTTGTCGTCTCCTCCTCCTGGTGTTAATTCGTATGTCTTTGCCCTTTTTTTTTTGCACATCTTTGTTTGCAGCCCCCTTGCGTATCGTGGTGTTCTGCCCACGCCCGCACACGAGGCTGTGCATATATGCCTTGGGGGATGACCGCGCATGTGATCGCGCATGTAACGGAGATTGTATAACCGTGCTTATGGGGGTCCTCCGCTGGCCATCCCCGCCGCAACGCCGAAACAGTCGGCGAACGAATTCAAGAAAGACAGTTGTTTTTTTGTTTTTTTCCTTTTAAAAAAGAACCTTCCCCCCTTTTTGCTTATTTACCCTTTCGAAGAATTGCAGAAGGTTAGTTACCCTTCATATGAAGTACCATAATTCGCAACGTCTTTTTTTTATCCCGTTCTCCGCAGCTATTTTTTACTAATCGTGGCACAGTTATATATATAAATATACGTGCATGGGTGCGTGCATAAACCCTAATGTCTAATTTGTTCATGCAAAATTAAAAAATATTAGAAGGTACACATGTATAAAATTTTTACATGTGCATCTACTGGACTGGTTCGAATGCTCATCAGCTACTTCACTTTCACAAGTGTGCTTTTGATATTCGTGCAAGGCACGGTCAAAAGTCTACCAGCTTTGCATTTGAAAATTGATACAGGTTGCAGAACTGATCTTATGTGAACAAGTGTTACCTATTATTAATGTGAAAAAAAAGGCCCTTTCCTTGGCCTCTGCTTACCTTCGCTTTTTTGTCCACCTTACTGCATTTAAGCAACCGTATAAAATAACATAACAACATAGAAGTCGTTTTTACCATTGTTCATAAACAGGGCACAAAATTTGCGTCGTATGTTATTTGTACGATTATGCTTGTGTATGCATAGTTATACATTATAATATGTATTAATATATATATGTGATTTTTTTTTTTTTTTTTTTTTTTTTTTGTCTTACATTAAACCATTCTGGCGTTCATCACCATTTTGTTTAATTTTTCCTCTTTGTAACGACTTTGGCGAAGGTTTTTCCAGATTGTCTGTGGCAGCATTTTTAATGAAAGAGACAATTTTATTTTCTAACGACTCAAATTGAATTATTTCTGGAATGCTATACGATAAGGGGGTTGTACTATAAAAGGCGACGTCGCAGCATGGTGTTCCGTTGAATCTAACATGATTAGAGCTGAGAGCACTCCTCGCTTAAATTATACATTATGCAAATTATATCTCTACATAATATAACTATTATGCAGCATCAGTTTATTTTTTTCGTCTTTTTTTTTTAACATTTGTTATATCCCATTTGTGCATAAAAAAAAAAAAAAAAAAAAAAAAAAAAAAAAAAAAAAAAAAAAAAAATTAACGGAGTATGCTATATTAAAATGGCTTCATATAATATGCTGCTCATATAAATAACATAATTTTTATTTTTTTCTATTTGCGTATTTTTTTTTGTAGTATCAAAAATACAAAAAAAAAAAAGTTAATAATAAAATTAACAAAATATTTTTCTGATTTGAAATACCTGCCTTGCTAAGCATATTTCTTTTCTTTTTTTTTTTAAACCTGTTGGTTGCTATAAAAAAAAACATTTTTTGCCCAAAGGGGAAACAAAAAAAAATTGTACGTCAGAAAAGTACGCCATTTTGTTTTTTGTATATATTTTTTACGTTATGTATATTGGGACATCTGCGAATAGACAAAGAACCATTCTCTCTCCAGCCCTGTGCTCCCAGAACAAGTATCTCATAAGAAGCTACAACCAGCAGAACCGTTATATGCGTATGTGAGTACATATATTTCTACATGTCTGGAAAGCACAATACTTTAAGCATAAAATCCGTTCAGCTGCTTGGCAAGCATAATTGGCTTATATAAACGCTTAACACGCGCGTTCTTTGCATTTTTCCACCCCCATACAAATTGCAACGCCATTTTAACTCCGACGAATGGTTGTCTTCCATTTGTTTGAGCGCTGCACAAATTGGCAAGTGTTTTGTTAAAGCGATTTAATTTCTTGCTTTTTTTTTTTTTTTGTACCCTTTTTTTTTTTTACGTTGCTGTCCATTTGCGAAAATGTTCAAGAAATACATTCTTGTCATATCTGCTAACCTACTTTTAAAAATTGCATTTAATTCTAGCCCATTTGGTGTGCATTGCTTGGGCACGCTAATAGACCCAGAAGCATCAACTGTAAGGGAAGGAAATATTTCTGTAAACTACCAACCCACAGAACACAATCCAAGCGAAGCATATGACTATGTAATATTACAAGAACATAATGATGGTTTAAATGTAGCAAATGAGAAACATGAGAATGAAAAGGATGTAGAACTGCAATGCTTAGATGAAAGTATTAAAAGTGATGAAGGAGAAAAACCAGTGGAAGAAAAGGAGGACGATGACGAATCTAATAAAGATGAGAAAAAAGAGGCTGATGGAGGAGAACACGAAGGGGATTGCGAAGTAGCTGGAGAACATGTACCACAAGAACTGAACGAAAATGGAATAGATGCAAATGAAAATACAAACACCTCTGACGAATATAATGATATACTTGACGGCTATAAAACTATATATTTTATTTTATTTACCGAATTTGAGACAACAGAAACGTACTTGGAAAAAATTATGAATTGTACCACAGATGAAGAAAAAAATGAACTGTTAGATGACCATATTGGTATTTTGAAAGAAATGTATGAGAATAGCAAAAAGAATGGAAACTTTATATTACCCTTTGAGTTACGAGATTCCATGGCACTTCGAATAAGTGATCGTCTTAGAGATTTCTGCTTTAGCCCTTACCTAACAGATTCGGGCATGGCAACATTAAAATGTTTATTTTCAATTGAACAAGAAGTTTTCAAGGGTCTCTTTTATTACGTAAAACATAAAAACACGTATAGTGAAAAAAAGGAAGTTATAAACGACTTGGAATTAATAAGGTATTATCATGATGAATTAGTTACCGAGTATGGTTTGTACCTAACAGAAGAACAGCTAGACAATGCAGCAATGAGAGTATCCAATTTTGTCCATGACGTTTATTTTCTGTGCGCCTCAAATTATTAGGATATGCTTTTCTTCCGTCAAGTATAGGATGCACACACCACATACATCAACCTTTGAAAATCACGCTTTTGAAACTTCTTTTAAATTACAAGTTGCCTAAATTTTTTTTTTCGTAATAAAAATAAGCCAAAACCCCGACCCCCCCCCTGGAAAGCATCTCGTTGTGGGCATGTTGTGTTATACATCGTACGTATTGACATTTATGTGCATACACATTTGTACATACTGGTCACAATTATTTTACCTTTACGCATGGAGATTTTCCTCACTCTTCTTCTATTGTTATCAATTATTGAAGGTGAAAAATGCTAGCGAGAGGGAAGTTTCGTAAAATCATAGCATAATGTAATCATCTCACCGCACGTCCATCCATTAGCGCCTTCCCATTATTTTGTCTGTTTTTTTGCCCCAATTAAAAAAAAAAAAAAAAAACAAAAAGGGAAAAATGTCCTAAATCCTCAAATTATAAAAATAAAATAATATAATATTCACCCTTTTTTTTTTTTACTTGCACGAATGCATGGATGTAAGATAAAATGAAAGGAGACAAAACGGAATGTCATAAAATGGAAGAAGGAACATTTTGATAAGGCAACGCTGTTGAAATGCTCCACCTTTTTAATTTGACCAAATTTAAAGTTGTTTTACGTGTCCACCTTTTTAATTTGACCAAATTTAAAGTTGTTATACGTTTCCACCTTTTTAACTTTACGAAAGAGGTGAAAAGAAAAAGGAAAAGAAAATTGTAATAATATCCTTCCTTATTCCACATATGTTTTTATGTTTAAAAAAATCTGTTTTTTTTTTTTATTTTTTTTTTTTTTGGTTTTGTTTTCATTTTCACCCCCTTGTTGATTAAATATATTTATTTGTTTATTTTACAAAGAACCTATGACAATCATTAAATTATGTATAAAACAAACTATATACTGATCCCCTTTTCAATTTGTATTTAATTAATTTTTGCTTTAAAACATACCACACACATACATCCCACATACAAATCGCATATATTAAAGACTTACTGTCAGATGAATGATAACCACATGGATGTTTAAAAAAAAAAAAAAAAAAAGACAGCCATTTTTTCCCCTCTGAACAAATTAAAAACTGGTACCCTATTACAATTTTTTCCCTATGTTAATCCTTTTCCCACATACGAGATACCGAAATTTGCCTAAAGATTTCCATTGATCACTGCAGTGTGAGATCCCCCACCTTGTACACAATTCTCTTTATAAAACTGTAGGCTACAACGTCAAAGCTGTACAACACACGAAAATGCCATTGGGGAATAGAAACTTTTTCAAGCAATTCTGTATGTACATAAAATGTAAATTTGTGAATGTGCATCCACACGTACACGTTTAACAATCCGTTGCGTTCAAATTTGCTAATCTGGAAAACGAAACTTAAAAATTGCACCAGCTGTAAGCATAACATAAACTTACGTTGTGACCTTTTTTATCGCTAACATGAATTCCATTTAGAGTTAAAAAACAAAAAAACGTATGTATAATATGCGAAAGAAAAATTTTGAAAAAATGGGTTATATAATATGCCACTGACGAAATGTTACCAACGTGAGGCAGAGAGGAGGGGAGGAGGTTCTTACGTTACTACACATACATAATACAGTACTATATATATGTGCTACATATTATACCCCGCGTGTGTGTGCGTGGAACGGGTAAACTTTGAGGGTTCACATTAACCCTTTCGTAGGTCAGGGAATTTCTTCCTTGAAATAAAGTACAAATTAACGATGGGGTTATTTATTTGCTGGGACAGAAAATATAGGGGTAATTGCTGCCACCACCATTCTTCCTTTTTCGCACCTTACTAACCCTTTTTTGTATTAATAATTATTATTGTGCTCATTTTTCATGTTAACATTGAATATGGGATGCAGTATAAATATAGGATTGGAGAAACGTGCAGGTGGGGTGTTATTCCCACACCAACATTTTATTATTTCATCACATTTGCTACCATTTTGTGAGCAATCCACCCACTCACTATATATTATTTGCTATTTTATATGGAATAGTTACAAATAACTCAAGTGCCTTTTTTTTTTTTTTTTTTAATTTTTTTCTTTTTTTTCAGTCCTCTATATTATAAAGAAGAAAGGCCCTTTATATATATATATGTATATATATATATATATGTATATATGCATATATATACTATATATAAGAGAAAAAATAAAACTTGTGTTGGTGACTAACCAGAATGGGTTACATGCGCCTTTGGTACACCCCCCTTAGAAATTTATTGTACAAAAGGAGGTTTATAATTACATTTTTTGCTCTAAAGCAAAGGGGTTTTTGTAATATTAGATTAATAACGTATTGCCACCATTAATGCATTTAAAATGAGGTAGCGGGCGAAAGGGTCAGGGTCAGGGACTACGCTTGTTTGCAAGGGCCACGCAATACGCTATTCGCGTACTACTCTATACAACTACTATTTACCTACCATGACCTATTCTTATAGAAAGTATAAATAAATATATATTATATATTTATAAAAATAATTATAAGCCCTCGCTGTACAAATTAGTTGTATGTAAATTAAGCGCACGAGAAAAAGCACTACTCTACTTTTCTCCTCCTCAGTGATGCTGTTTTTCAACAAAGTTGGTGCCTTGCTTCCCTGCGCCCACTGTTTGGTTAGTTCACCTTTTTCATTTTCAACCGTATTAAACTTAAAAAAAAAAAAACTCGCGCTAAATTTTCACATGTGTAAAAGGTTAACTTGCTAATAGTTAATCTCTACATTTGTGTTTACATTAGTAGAACTGCCTAACCTTAACGAAGAAAAATTATTTAGAGAGAAAAAAAAAAAAGCAGCTTTTTTCTTTAACGGTGTACCAATAAAACTAACTGTGCCACGTTTATGTTTCCTTTCTAACTAGTTTACTCACTAAGCCAACAAAAGGCTGTTTCTATTAATTCTCACAATGCATATATAATAAATAATGAGTGAGAAGGGGCGTAATGAAAAAAGTACAAAGGTTAGCGCAAAAAAAAAAACACAGGACGCAATCTAAACACTACTGTCCAAGTATATAATAATAATTGTGAACCGTCATGAATGCTCTTAAGAATAAAATACATGCAAATAAAAAAAAATTAAGGAAAGGTTATAATGGGGGGCTTGTTTAAATGCACCACATAATTTTTGGCAAGTGCGCATAAAAAAAAAAAAAAAAAAAAAAAAAAAAACAAACCCTAGTTTTTCGCGCCTTAAATAAGCACAAGTGCAAACTTTATAGAACCCCTTGAACATATGTCATATATATGTCGGTTCACCAAAAAGAAACTTTGTTTAAATTAAAAAAAAATAGATAATGGATGAAAACATTCCTTTATAGCGTGCATGTAACAAAAAGATAATAACATGAAAACGTTTCTAGATAACTTCTTTATAGATTAAAGTTAGATAACCTTTTTTTTTAATTAAAAACAAGTATCAATAAAAAAAGCTATTAATTAGCCAAACATCTAACCATACCTAACATATTTATAAGAACTATTAAAATTAATATAGAATTTTATAAACAAACGCGAAAAAATTTAATCAAAAAATTTATATTAATTTTTTTTTTTTTTACATATATTTCAAACTTTTTTATAAATTTTTATTTCAAAAAAAAAATTAAATTAAATTTTATACCTAATATTAATGAAAAATTTACGTTTTTCAAACATTTTTAATATTTAATAAAAACGCATAAACTTTTATAACATTTATCTTAAATAACAAAAAAAAAATAATCCTGTTTTGTTTTTTTTTCAACTCTGTTGCTTTTACGCTTTTTTGCGAATTTTAATTTTTATTATCTAATTACAATTTATCTTCCCGCCCTTTGTACAAAATGAAAATCACTAAAGTATTATACCTCCTCGCTGCTTTGTTAGCAGTGAACTTCATTGCTCCAAGCTTCTACAATAATGTTGTAGATGCAAAGAAAGCTTCCTACAAAAAATTGACCCCTGCTGAAAGAAAAAAGAGAAACCAAAAGATCATGATGATCTCCTCCATTGCTTCTGGTATTGCCGTACTCCTCGGTACTGCCTTAGGCCTAGGTTTCCACTACAAGGGCAAGCGCGGAAACAGAAGAGGAACCCCAGCTGCCAAAAAGGAGCCAATACTTGGTGCCTTGAACAACAAGCAACAGAATGCACCCGCCCAAAAGTAAATGGGTAAATTAAGCCTTTAATCAAAGGGGAAACTTATGAACCCAAGAAGGGCACAAGCCAACCAGGCGCCTTCCTGGGCTTATGATTTTAAAAAGCCCATGGATCAAAGACCTCAACAGGGAAGATGAAGCCACTTGAAGGGAGATAGGCGCGCCTATATATATACATGTACAATTACGTACATATATATATATATATGTGGCGTGACATGATTTACAAGACTTCATATGGAAAAGGAAGCCCTATCTTTTCTTACCCCTACCACTCGAGCTGACAAGGAAAAATGGAGAAGATAATCCCCAGGAAGGAAACAAAAATAGAAGGGGCCGAGTTAAGCCCCCCTCCGCCCCCTTGCTGATATACTTGTATTTTTCAAGAGATATAGCTTTAAGCGTGATTAATAATTTTAGATAATAGAAAAATTAAAGAGCTACATATATATATACATATATTTATATATATATGTATCTTTTTAGCATGTTTTTCTTTCTTATCTCTTTTTCACCTTTTAGCAAAAAAAAAAAAAAAAAAAAAAAAAAAACAAAATCATAGGAAAGAGTAATTTTTATCTTTTATGGAATGAGATTTTTAGCTTATAAGTTCGTAGAGTCGTGTAGAATAATATATATATATATTTTTATATGTGTATATATGTGCCTATATGTGTACTTATATATATGTATGTCCTTATGTATATCTTTTATTCTATCCATTTTTTATACCAATTGATTATTTATCTGCATATAATAGATCTTGACAAGTTTTAGAACGGAACACAATTGCATAAGAAATAACCTCTCTCTTTTTTTTTTTTTTTTTTTATTATATATGTATAGTTATGACCAATACATATATATATATTCCCTTTTTTTATATGTACTCAAAATACAAAAAATATATACTTGTGTACATTTTTCTTATGTATATTTATTATACGAGAGGTTATATATATATATATTTTTTAAATGTCTTATGGTCGTTGAAGTATTTTTTTATTTACTAAACGTGAGAAACTGGAACTGTAATTTTATATTTAAATTATTTTAAATAGAGGACATTTTTATTAATACATACTGGATAAAAAAAACCAGTACTGTATAAAAATATATAAGGGTTTAATTTATAAATAGGTAGAAAAAGAAAAATAAAAGGGATAGTTCTAGTTCGCACCAATCTTTTTACACTGTCTCCTTGTGCAGTAGATGTGTGGAACCAGCCACTCACAAAGCAATAGGTGTGTGTGCTTGCATTAGGGTTGCAATGTATACTGAACTGTGTATATAACCCGGCGCCTTAATCTGAGTCCACTTAAAATGGTTGCCACGCTTTTTTTGTTTTTTTTTTGGTAAAAATGATGGAAGGTACATTTGGTAGCTCGCTTTTTATGTCTGTTACGAAATAGGTGAATCGTACAAAGGGTAGTTAAAATTAGATTCAGTTCTTGAGGAGAAGAGGGATGTTGGGGGATGGATCCCTTTTTCGTTTTACAAATTGCATTAGGACGTACATTTTGTTCTTAGTCCGTTGTGTTAGATGATATACTCATCTGGAACGGAACACCTGAGTAGGGTTCTCTTACGGTTGCAATTCGTTTCACCTTTTTCCTTTTTCATAAAATGTTCATTATCCAACAGAGACAAACAAAATACCTCCTGCATGCGTCACACACACACATGATGGGCATTTTGTTAAATTGCAAATATATGAATAAGCAATTTTAAGGTGCTAATAAAACTGTGCACTACTTCTTGGCCATGTCATGGAAATAATATATTCGCATGTAGAACAAAAACACGCGCCATAAAGGGCACCATATTATATCTCCCTTGCTTCCCATGACATGGTAAGTATCACCCCAAGTGTGCACTTACACGAAACACACATTTCGTGTGCTCTTTTAAGATGTGGAAGCGTCCCTGACGTGGGACTTCCAGCTCAGCAGCTGTTTGTCCGACGTGTGTGTTTGTCACCCTTTAAAAATGCCTACTAAAAAAAGGGGACATTCTGCGCTCATGATGGGTATACGTGTACATACAGCTCAGGAGGCGGCATGGCCCTGCAAAGCTACTGATACAGCTGTATGGATAGTAACGGGTGCCTTTCGCTGACCGGCGATAAAATGGAAAAAAAGACTTAGCATGGTGCAGACATCTTTGCCTCATCCTAAGTAACTTATTCTGACAGGTCAGCAAAAAAAAAAAAAAAAAAAAAAATCAACTGATCTATTTATGTGAATTTGTTTGTAAATGTTTGGAATGAAAAAACAGGGACACATATTCCTATGCAGCTCTTCAAATGTGTAGGGAGCTACACAAGTTCTTTACTTTTAATACAACGCAAGTCGCACATATGTGACACACATGAACCGAATAACATAAGCCGCTGCCATGTGATCACTTTCATTTTTGCTTGCTTATCACATAGAAAAAGGAGCTCTACAGGATGATACAGATTGGTCTTCTAAATATATATATATATTTTTTCTTCTTCTTTTTCATTCTGCAAATTGCACTTTTATTTTATGTAACATCCTACCATCAAAATGGAAAAGGCCCGAGCTACGATATTTGGCAGGACCCCACTAGGACGACAATCATTATACGCATATGTGCACCTTTTCTATTCGCAAACACTACCAATTAATTTCGCCATCCATGGGAAGGTAAAATTGGCGAAAGTGGCATGAAGGGAAAAATGCAGAGAAGAATACTTCTCAATACGTGTATGCGATCTTATGAACCATTAGAGCATTAACAAAAACAAACTGTCTTTACTAAACAGGGTGCGCATATGAATAACACAAAAGTGCATACATTTATCGCTTTGCAGCACACTGCTTACAAAAAAAAAAAAAAAAAAAAAATTATCGACAAAAAAAAGAAGAAAAAAAATGTTTTCCCTCTGAAACATTAAATTATGTGCGCCGATAACGTAACAAATTTCGAGTCAGAAAAATTTATGCTCTTGTTCACAGTCCCTATGGGATTATACGTCAATGAGAAAATATCACTGTACTCGTTAATTTCTAAAAAGGCATGGCCGCCTTGCACAGATACACAGCAATTCGCAAGCATGAATGTTTCTTCCTCCTAAAGGTGTACAGGTGGGGGAAAAAAGAAGGCAGACGACTACATTTATAAAATAGTAAACACAATGTGTGATTCTACAAAAACAAGTGCGCTCCACTTTTCAATGTTACACATTTCATGTCGTGTGTTTCTTTCTCTCTTTTCATTTTGTTCTCTCTCTTAACCTGGCAGAACTTCTCATGCTTCACCTCCAGCTTGACGTAAATGCACCCGGTTTCATCTCCCGCTAACACGTACAAGTAATCCTCTGCGTCATGGAAAAGTATGAAAAAAAAACAGGAGGGGCATAGGAAGTAAATTTACAGAAATAGGTGGTCCTTACAGGTGTATGTACTAAGGCGAACATAATTATGGGTTGCCCTCACACACCCGCTGCGCATTTGTGCCTACCGTTGAAGCGAAATATACGAACTGCCTTGAGAACTATGTTAAAAAGGCGCAAAAATGGCCTCAAATCTTTGCACTTTAAAAAGTGTAGAGGTGGTAGCTCCTTTAAGGCCTTCAAATATTTCAAACTTCCCGAGTGATATTCAAACGATTTTTCACTTAGTATGCGAGATTTTTTAATTTTTTTTTTTTTTTTTCCCTTCACCATTTTATCATTCACATTGGCTGCTTCGAAATATTCCTCATTTGTTACATCTGCCTTCGCATCCGGCCCATTCTGCTCGATCACTTCTGCATGCCAGTTCACCTTTTGTGCTACTTCCTCTTCGTAAAACTCATTCCATAGGTGAGCACACTTGGGGGCATCCTTAACCGTTTCAACGTACTCTCTTTGGCTATTTTCCTCCGATTTGTTTTTTCCCTCTATATCGTTGGCACGAATGGGGTTAATGTCTCTACTAGGGGTGGCGAGCATCTCTGTCTCATTTTCATCAAAAAAAAAATTTTGTTGCATCATATTTGTGGGCACACTTAATAAACCCTCTAATTTATTTTCCGTCCCATTATATTTTTCCTGCACAAATTGTTCATTTGAAATGTTTGGAAAAAGAATGGAATTCAATTCTGCACCATCCTTTATGAGATCCTCACCTAACATATGTTTTGCATCATCATCTGGGTCATGTTCTACACATTTGCTATGCTCATTTAATTCGTGATCATTACCTGCATCTTGATCCCCTTGGTGTGGGTAACACCTTTTTTTAGTTTGACCCAGCAAATCGACTGTCTTTATGTCTTCCATTTCTTTGCCACTAAAATGGGTGTCTCCCTTGGACTCATTCATTTCTTGCATGTTAATGTTGTCCCCTTTGCCACCGTCCTCTTCCTCCCTCTGCACTGCAATTCCTTCTATGTGTTCTCCCGTTTGATACAAAATTCCCCCCACCTCGTTTCTTCCAGTTAACTCCCCCAACCCTCTGTGTGTACTGTTTTTGACCGTTTCGTTCCGATTTATACTTTTTAAATCTACTGTTTCGAATGAATAAACACCATGTGGGGTTTCTCCCTTGGCTTCCTCCGCGGCTTCTTCTGCCTCGTAGGTTTCTTCTCTATCGAAGAAAATCCTGTCCCTTGCGGTGGCCACTCGTGCTCTCTCCCCTTCCACCACGTCTACCACATCCACCACCACTTCCATCGTTTGTTTATTTTCAAAAAAAAATGTGTCCCCTCCATGGTTCTCCGACATGGAAGCAACTTCATACTGTTCATCGTCACGGCAAAAAAAAGCATCAAACGATTTTTTTGCATTATCCATTTCTAGGTTTCCCGTTTGGAAGGTATTTATTTGCATTAATTTTTCTTCATCCCATTTTTGGGCTACACCACTTTGTCGTACTTCACAAGTTTGTTTTTCATCACACAGGTTATTGCTTCGAACTTCTTTACCATTTTCACCATCCACCTTTGGTACCACTTCTTCCCTTTCGCTACCTACGACAGCAGCATTCTCAATTGGGCAGTCCCTATTTTGTGTTTCCAATTCTCCGCTTATCATTTCTAACTTTTTATTATCAATGTAGGTTTCCCTATCTTCCTCTTCTTTGCCATTCGTATTAGATAGCACAGGGAATTCATATGAACAGAAATTGAATTTGTCTTCATTACTTTTGGGGCAAATGTTTATGTCCACTGGCCAGTAGTTGCTCTCTCCATTGTAGATATCGCTACAGTCACGACTGCGTTCACCTTGATGGGCAGCATTTTGCCACTCTTCGGGGAAGTGGACGCCTTGGAAAAAACTCAATTCAGATTCTTCTTCATCAGGCATTACGGGGTCGAACATAGGGGGATCATTTGGGGCGCCCTCTTGTGCCTCTTCACCAACTTCACCTTCACCACCCCCTCTGCTGCAACTGATCGTGTTGGGGCTCTCCGCCCTGGATCCCTTGCCACACGACACACCGATATCTGCAATTGTCCCTAATGGGCATTCCTGTTCCCCCTCCAACAGTGTAGGCAACACAGATTCTTCTTTAAAAATGTACTCCTGTTTGTTTGCCTTCTCCTGGGTGTGCGTGGAAACCTTACCCTCAAATTTTATGCCTTCCTCATTTTCCTCTTGGCATTCATCCCCTTTATTAAAATATGTTGTCAATTTTTCGTGGGACACAAATTTCTCAAAAGACTTCATTTCCTCCCTGGGTAGATATCCCTCTATCACAGTTTGATCAAAATTACCACTTTCCAGTTCAGCCTTGGGATGTAAAGATGGACTTATTTTCACATGATCAGAGCTAACATCAAATGGGTAACCATTTTCTAAAGGGTCTTCCTTGTGTTGTTCATTCTCGGCATGTTTTATTTGTACTTCATCGTTTGAGTTTTCCACGTGTTCCTTTTCCTCCTTCCATTCATTAGCACAGCTAACTGCAAACGTGAAGGAGGAAAAATTGTCTTGGTCTATTTTGAAAAATTCATCACTGTTTTCGTCAAATTCTTGACACAGGGGACTTCCCTGTTGGGTATTGTCAATTGTCTGATCAGTCTTGGAGCCATTGGGGAGATATTCATTCGGCTGTTCCAAGTGTGTGCCAATTTCACCCTCCAGGGGAGTCATCGCTCCCCAAGTGGGGTTGCCATCCCACCAAGTATCCCCCCCCTGTTTACTAATCTCCGAAGGAACACATCTTTCGCTCATTTTGTCATTTGCTAAGAAAATGTCGCATTCATTTTCCACTTTGTTGTCATGCCTTCCTTTTTCTACTCCGCTGTCCTGCCTTTCCTTTTCCATTATACCTTCCTGCCTACTTGGTTCATTTTGCTCCTCAAGAGCCCAAAACAAATCTTCGTCCTCTTCCTTGTTATCCCTTTCGTTGCTTCTCCCTTTGGTGCCATTTTCAGCAGCTGGAACAGTTGCATTTACGCCGGCATCTACGATGTTGTCCTTTTTTTCTTCATGAGTTCTTCTCGATGCGGCAGTAAGTTTATTGTACAAGTAAAACATTATTCCAAAGAAGAAAAAACTACATGGAGTGGAGGGAAGCTCAGAAAAATAATACAAAAAATTAAAATCTTCCTTTTTACACCTTTTTTAATGGGTAGTACACCATCTCACTTCGCATTTTTCTTCATTCTAGTGACTAATGGATGTTATGTAACTTCATTTTCGATGCTAGTGGGAAAAAAAATGTATGCTTCACATTTTGAAAAATGTGAAAACAAAACAAGTTACATAAAAAGATTAATTCACACAAAATAGGAAAAAAAAAAAATGTATCATAACAACGTAGTGAAATATGAAAATCAAAGCGCTTCAAGTTTTTTTTTTTTTTTTTTTTTTCGGAGATATTTCACAAATTTGCCCTTGTTTCTGCATATCGGGCAGCCATAAAAAAATAAAAAAAGAACCGTATATTGGTTTTATTCATTTATTATTTTTATCGTTTTCTTTTTCTTTTTTTTTTATTGTTTTCTCATTTTTTCCCTGTTTTTTCATTTAAAAAAAGAAATGAAGAGAACGTCAAATTTTATTCTACAAAATTTCCAGTGTTTACTATTTGTTTGAAAAAAGCGGGGGCGTGGAGAAAACAATCCTTTTACACCTTTTTGAAGGTTTTTATTTTTTTTCACCCCCTTTAAGGCTTGTTATGCCAAGATGATCAGGCCAAGCTGATTTATTTATGAGTACACCTAATTTGAAATCTGCGATGCAACGTATGTATACACGCACACGTGTATGGGAGATGCGTGCCTAAACCCTTATGTGCGCCTGCCCCCCGCCCCCACACCTAAGTTAAGAATGCAATTTTAGAGCATCTCGCAACTGTCGAGACTACGCAACGTGTACGTGCCGATGTGGTGACACCTAATCTCTGTAGGTTTGTACACCGTGTGCATAACACCCCAAACGCGAATGCATGTGCGTACAATCGCTCACACCACACATGTGTGCGTCCTTAAACTCTTGTAAACCTGGCTTGACTCCCCCTTTTTGTCGACGTGTGACACGCTCCCTCGCTCGGAAGGATGATCCTCCTGAGCAGGAAAAAAAACATTAGGGAGTTTCTGAACTACTGTAAAAGAAAATGCCTCAACTCGCTACTAACGGACAAGAATGATGACCCACTTAAAGATGTCCGTCCATGGAAAAGGAACGGCTTCGTTTGGGACAAAGGAAAAGGTTCAAACCAGTTCGTGGAAGAATTAAAAACGTCTGCCGTAAAATTAACGGGGAACTACATAAAAAATAAAATATCATCAAACATTAACGAAATAACCCTTGACACATCCGGAAGTAGCCAAACAAAATACCCAGAAAATATGTATAAAGAAATTTTACTATGTATGAATGTGTTAGAGTATGAAGACGAACAGGTAGAGAAAGAGTTAACATCTTTGCACAATTATTTTAAGAACATAAAAAGTGGAATAGATCCATATGTACTTTGTGAAAATAAAATAAAAAATATCGATGAACATGTTTATAACATTATAAAAACGGACTACAACAATCTGGACGAATTTATAACATATATATATCTGTATCAGGGGAAAAAATTTCGAGTCATTTTAAGCATTCTGTTGAAGAACATATTATGTTATGTGGATAATGTGTCTTCAAAAAAGAATTTTAAATTTCGAAACATTCACAGGAATTATTCCAAATGTGTGAAAATTGCAAATTCGGCAAATAATATTATTGCCAAGAAAAAACTAGCCATTGTAAATTATGCAAGTAATAATATTTCTGAAAAAAAAATTGGAGAAAATCAGTGTAGAATTATTGCCGCGTCAGAAATTATTCACATGGGATCTCTCCTACATGATGATGTAATTGATGGCTCAAATCACAGAAGGGGAGCTGTTGCATTACATAAAAAGTATGGAAATAAAATATCTATACTGTCTGGAGATTTCTTGCTGGCGCGTGCTAGTTCTGTTTTTGCAAGTATTGGGTGTCCACAAATATGCAGAAGATTTTCATACGTGGTGGAAAGCTTAATAAAAGGGGAATTACTACAAACCAATCTTAAGTTTAATAATATTGAAGATGCATTAAAAACTTATTTTATTAAAACATATCACAAGACTGCTTCTCTTTTTTCTCATTTGTTTGCTTGTATAGCAATACTTTCTTTTAAAAATGACAAGATCATTGAGCTGTGTTTTAAATTGGGACTCCATATAGGAATGGCATTTCAGTTATATGATGATTATTTGGATTACAAGCCTGACAAAAAAACTAATAAACCTATTTTGAACGATTTGAACAATAGCATAAAAACGGCACCGTTTCTTTTTAGCTATAACTACAACCCCGATACTGTACTCTCCTTAATAAATAAAAAGACACTCTCAGATACCGACATTAGCAACATCTTATTTTATATCCATAGCACAAATAGTCTTAAAAAAAACGAACTCTGTTCTTTGCTGCACATCAAGAGGGCAGCAGATATTTTGATCTCCATAATCTCCTACTGCAGGACGGACAAAAATTACGAAAAGGCCACTTGGCAAAAAGAGGACATCAACCAAAGTAGGGAAGCCCTAATTAACTTAATCCTAAACATACTCTCGCGCAGTGCCAAGTGAGAGGTGTTCCCTGGGGGGTGCCCTATGCTGCGCCCTGTGCGGCGCCATGTACGACTACAGCAGTCAAAAAAAAAGACAAATCAAATGCAACACGCGGAAGAAGCACCTCCAAGTTGGTTCCATAGTTGGCATCCGATGGACCAAACCAGTTGCATGGGGGGGAAGTCCAATTGAGACACGTTTTTTCAGAGCAGATATGCGCTTAAGTTACGCAAGTGCCCATTCGAGTGTCTTCCGCTGTTCGAATTTTGTTTTTTTTTTTTTGCGCCATCTTCTCGTGTTCTTCGTCGTCCTCCTTGCCGATGACTTCTTCGCGTTCTCCATTTTTTGGTGTCCTCCTTTTACCAATGGGGATTTGTTTTGTTTTTTCTTTCTCTCAATTTAATTCGAACGGGCGCAGTCCATCCCGTGTGTGGAGTTGACCCGCTTGCGGCTGACCCATCATAATTTAATTGCCTTTCCTCCCAGTGCCTATTTCGTTTGCCCGTTTTATTCGTTTTTGTGTATTTCCTTATTTGTTCCCTTTTTCTTCCTCGACGTGTAACACCCTACTTAGGCGCGGTCACTTGTGCGCATTGCAACTATAAGCGAGAAGGAGAAAAATATATACATATATATAAAATAAAATGAAATAATAAATTAAACATACCAAGTTGGTGTGTATTTATACTGTTAGGCAAAAATGCGCCGTTTTGTTTTTTTTTTTTTTCTCCCACCAGATGTTAAAATGCAGGTTATTCCTCTTTGCGTCGCGCCAAAATGATCTTTCCTGGTCTTTGTCAAAAATTTCAATGTCTATTTCGGTCTCTACATCTTTCGCTCTTGAATACAAAAAGATCATATTTCTTAGAATAACTTTGTACAGCCGCAAGAGGTGGGAAGCTTCTTCATTCGAGTGCACCAACGCATACGCCTCGTTCTTCGTGCGGTCCACGCGCATGAGGCAGACGTCAACTGAAGGGGGGGTGTATACATGAAAAGAAAATTTCGCGAGTGTCCCTACATATGTATCGCACACAGTAATTCACGGTTTATGTCCGCCTGTGGAACCCGTTCCGAAACTGGGTAGCACGGCCAAAAAAACGGTGTACACGAAAGGTCTGACGCAAGAGCGCTAAAAACAAAACTCTCATCTGATTGTCTAATGCGCAAGGGAGCCACAGACATTAAAATGCGAAATGAGAAAAGTGGGGATTGCCCTTGAAGGAAGCCCTCCACATGTTTAAAGAGCAAAATAAAGCATTCATGGTTGAGCATCCTTAGCAATAACTTACCCATGTGTCCAAGGAAATTTTGTATCTCCAATTCTCCTTCGAACAGGGCAATGTTTTTTATTTTTACTAAGGAGCCTGTTGCTATGGGGAAAAAAAAAAAAAAAAACTCATTAAAATGTACGTCATATTGTGTAAAAAAAAAAATTTACATCACTTCCACACACTTGAACCTGACGCTGCGCCAAGAAAAGAAATAGTCACAAAAAAAAGGAAGCGATGGGATAGGGAGAAGGACAAAATTAATCACCACTCAGTGCAACACTCATAAAGGGACATCGCAAACGAATGCGACTCTCCCTCATTTTAAACATTACGCTCAGTCGGAAATAAACGAGACAACTTGTTCTCCATCTTGAAAAAAGGAAAAGTCTTCACAGAGAAGTGTTCGCTCCATCTTCGATCCCTTTTGCATCTCCAGACTTGGCAAAAAAAAAAAAAAAAAAAAAACGTCCCTTTTTTACACGCCGCTTTCTCACACACGTATTTCTGAACAGCGAAACATGTAAAGGCACTCGCGAAAAATTGTATATGTAAATATTTACTCTTGCTCGAGTTACATACAGATCTGCTTAGGAAAACGCGAAAAGAAAAAATTATTCACATAAAGGGACAGTCAAGATTTAGCAGAAAACATAAATTTGGTAAAACCTGGAGAATATGCACTAGCACAATTTATTCCCCTACCCTTTCGCTTCCTGTTTTTTTATTTTTCCCAGTTTTAAATAATCCATGCAACGGCTAGCTCCAAGGAGCATGTATACACATGCTTACAGAGTACACGTTTTCTTCTCATGCCCCTCCGCGTTCTCCCCAAACCGGCATGGACAACTCTACTCATGTTCATGTCGTCTGAAAGCACACATATAGAAAAACATGAATCAATTCATAAAAGGACGCGCTGAATGGATTTTTCACACCTTTTGTCGCCTTTTTCAAGTTAAAAAAACATGACTCAGAAAAGAAGCATTCCCACTCTTTCGTAATTTCGAAGCATAATTTAATATTTCCCCTGTCACCTTCCCCCCCCTTTTTATATTTTTAAAACATACGAATTGTAGGCCCTGTACCTTTTCTACCTCCTGAGTGGTTATCTCATAATCCATATGGAATGTACGTAAAAATGCATTACATTTGTGACCCCACCGAATGGCTATTTTGAAACCCTATTTGATCAATTCTCCTTTTCGCCTCCCCCTAGCATATGTTATCTTAGAGCAGTACTGTCCCGCGGGCTACAACAGGTTCATTTCTTTTACTACTTAAGTCCGGTTGGCGTCTATTGCATATGGAATACGCAGCCGCAGCAATGCATGCACACTTTTACATCACCCACCACCCCCTCTAACTGCAGAATTTTTTCCATTCTACTTTTTGTAAGTGGTGCATTATCCTTTCTTGTATGCTCCCTAAGCGACCCTGGTAATTTTCTCCATTTCCGACAATTTGGATTATGCCCATATAGTCACTCTTCACCCACCCACCCCCCTCTCACTTTACTGCACACACAAAAAAAAATGCACCCTAAAATATGCAGGCAGAATATCCCATACCTCTTTGGATAAGCACCTGAAATTTTACCCCTACGACGAAGTCATTTTTCACCAAAACAACAAATGCAGCACTTGTCAGATGTTAAAGTAAGATGGGGGAGGGCTAATGCACTTAAAGGCAAAGGAGATTATGCTAATGTGAAACATTAGTGAGTTAGTTGGGGGATCCGTTCTTCAAAAAGCTTTTACACCTACGCACCCTACGTAGATAACAATAATGCGCGCTAGAAAGACACAAGCACCAGCTCGACGTAGAACATAAAAAGTGCGCAAAGAGAATTATGCATATGAAAAAAAATTCGTTCCTTTTCTCAGACCTGCTAGAAGTAAACATTGTAAATATTGCTTGTCATGTATATCTCGCTACGACCACCACTGCTTTCTGTTAAACAATTGTATCGGAGGATATAATAGTATTTATTACCTTGCTTTCATTTGTACAAATGCCACAATTGCCTTTCATTCCTTCTACATAAGTAAATCAACAAAGGGAGAGGAGAAGAGGGGCTCCCATTGGCATGCACCACTGTGCCACTTCTTAAACCCTTTCCAAGTGTGTCTGTACTCGTTTCATTCATTCATTCATTTTTTTTTTTTTTTTTTTTTTTTTTTTTTTTTTTTCCTCTGTAGCTTTTCGCTGCCTTTATAATATTATCAAATATGAAAACCTTCTGAAAGGTACCAAAATGAGAAAGGAAAGGGGGCCACGAGTTGGATGACACCTCATAGGATGGATGTGTGCCACACGTTTAACCGTGACCCTTTGTTCACGTACACACACGTACATGCTTACACGCGGGGACACGAGCCCCCTTTTTTTTTCTTCCCCCTCGCAGCCACGTTTATACACAAGGACAGCAACGAGGAGATGCCGAATTCCTGCGTAACGATCGCTCGGGTGAGCAAATAAAAACACAAACGGGCAAACGAATAGACAGCCAGCCAGACAAATCGCGCCTCCCCTACATGTCACACTTATTCCTTCCCCCCCCTTTGCAGTACCTATTTTCCAAATGCAGCCCCACCTTCTCCTTGTTTGTGGTATCCCTGCTTAGCGCCTCCATTTTAGCGCTCCTTTTTTCGCATGAAATTTATTTCAACTTTTGTGTGAACATCACGAGGAATGAGAAGACAAAGTACGTCAGTTTGAAGGGCGGTACTCCCGTAAACAAGCAGTTTTATAATAAAGGTGAGGACGAACCTCCATGGGACGACTACGCCGGCGCGTTTGCATACTTGTGGGAAAATGTGCACACGTGTGGTATGCAGAATGGGACAGGGTCATGTGATTTTTTTTGCTCATTTATTTTATTTTTTCCCCGCAGGGTTCATAAAAAACGTGCAGGATGTGTTGTTTTACAAAAAAATCGTGGAGGACTTTTTAAAAAAAAATTCATAAGAGCGCAAGTGAGTACACTTGCCAGGTTTGCGTGTGCCAAACAGACGTCACAACGAGCGGTGTCGCGTAGTAATTCCGCGCACATAGCAGCATGTATACGCGTTGATATGGACATATATGTGTGTGCCCCAATGGGGTTGGCCCAAACTGGTCTACAAAATTTACCCCGCCAGGTGAATATTCCCATGGTAGTATATTTAAGTGCAAAACAAAGAATTCGCCGGCGGGGGGTTGGGGAAGTTCCCCTCGATTTGTCACATTCAGCACAGGGGACTCCTGTGCACAAACGTTATGTCTCCTCTACTTTCAACCAATTCGTTAAAAATATTTTTCATTTTTTTCATGTCATCCAAGTGGGCACTAATTTTTGGCGCATTACTCAACCTCTTCGTGTGTGTGAAGTTATTGTGGCTGCTTATGTCGACTCTACCTACCATTGGCCTTAGCGCATGAGATGCGTCTTGCTGACACCTGCCCACCACGTTGCTACGACCCCAATTGGGCAAATTATTTCTCGCTGCCCTTTGCGCCTTCCTCAAATTAATTATGTCATTAATTAAAACATTTTCTCGACTCTCCAATTTTGTCATATCATCATAGAGCATACATTTTTTATTATTTCCATGCGAACCGTCATCCTCCCCTTCTAAGTGAAAACATTTTTCATTACTCATATCAGAATATTTGTCCAGTTCTTTGTTTAAGGCAAAATTGCCCCTATTTGAAGAGTCATTCAAATTTAACTGCCTTAGCATATTTTTTACTCTCTTTAATTTCCTCAAGCATTCCTGGTACTTATAAAGTAACAGCTGATAATCCCTACTTAGCAAAATTTTGGATTTTTTTTCAAAATTTAAGTCTCTCCTTAATTGTGCTATGGTCTTTAATCTCATTTCGTCCTTTGAAAAATTTAGTATATCTGAGATTTTTCCTCCACTTATTACTCCCCCTCCTCCCTTTCTCACTCCACCATCATAATGCTCACCCAGCTCTGCTAGTTCATTTTCCTTTTCTTCCAATATGAAGTACAGCATGTCTCTCTTCAAACTACTTGACGACTCCAAATAGTTTTGAAAAAGGAACCACGAATCATCATACCTTTGGTTATCGTCGTCCCTCTGGCTGTCCAATTTGCCTTGTACTTTTTTTGCATAATTCCTTAACTTATTCATAAAGCAAAAATATTTCAAAAGTAAAGCTTTAATCTCTTCAGGCATGTAGATAAGCTTCCACATATTTTTATTTATCTGTTCAAAGTTTTTAACAAATTGATCATTTAAAAATAGGAGGCTTAACATTTCGCTTAGAATTAGACACACAACTGTGATTACGTTTTTCTGAACCACCTGTGCATCTTCCTTTTGTACCCCATTTATTGCGTGTAAATTTTCCACATTCTTGGTGTACAAGTAGGACCCAATTATTTGAACTCCTCCCTCGGAGTTACTTTCATCAATTATTCCCATCACGCGGTACTTGCCTTCTTCCAATATGTGCATATGGTCTGAAGCCAGATTCTTTTCCTCTTTCACATCCGAGGGAAACACATCCTTCTTCTTTTCCTCCTCTGCGACACTTGTCTGTTCATTCGATGCGCGCTGCTTCCTAGATAACCATTTTCCCGATTTCACTTTTTCATTTTTCACTTTACTCTTCTCATTCATTTTAGTTAGTGCAGCAATCTTTTCCTCATTTTCTTTATCCCTCACTTCCAGTTCCTTCAACTGGTTCAGCAACTCCTTGATCCTTATGTCAGAGCTGTTTTTTTCGTTCAGTTCGGTGCTATACAGTAGGGTTAGTCTGTTTATTTCTTCCTTCAGATGCGCAATTTCGTTTATGTACTCGATCACTACCAATGTGGAGTCGTCCCCCTTGGGAACATCTGGGTTATCCTTCGCCTCCTCCTCTGCTTGGTCCACTTCACCATTCTCCTTTGGGATGCTTAATTTATTCTCTCCATCAGGGCTATGGTCATCACCACTGGGAGGGCTACTCTTCTTCGACTCCAACTCTTTATACGACCCACTTAACGCATCGTAATCTTTACTCAACGTATCATGCTTCAATGTTAACGCTTCAAATTGGTTTCTCAAGTCTTTTATCTCGCTAACGTAATTTTCCCTGTCCTTTTCATGTACCACAATGGAGTCCTTCAATTGTTGTATAACTCCTATATTTTCGTTCAACTTCAACATGTAATTATTTTCCTTTGAGTATAATTCTGCGTTCAATTGATCCGCGCTGCTTTTCAGTTCCTCCGCTTCTTTCCTCCAGGTCTCGGCGTTCGCCTTGCTCATCTCTGCGTCCGCTTTGCACATCTCTGCGTTTGCTTTGAACATGTCTGCATCTGCTTTCCATTTCGCAGCGTCCTCCTTCCACTTCTCTGCGTCCGCTTTGCACATCTCTGCGTTTGCTTTGAACATGTCTGCATCTGCTTTCCATTTCGCAGCGTCCTCCTTCCACTTCTCTGCGTCCTCCTTCCACTTCTCTACGTCCTCTTTCCACATCTCCGCATCCCCTTCCCACTTCTTGGCCGTCTCCCTCGATTCTGCCTCTTCCTTCTTCAACCTCTCCAACTCCAAGTTCAGCTTCGCGATCTCTTCATTTGCGCCCCCCAGTGTGGCGCTCAGCGTTTCTAACTTCTCCCTTTGCCTTTCCGCCTCTTCACCCACCTTCGCCAAGTTGTTGTTGCGCTCATCCAGCTCGTTCTTCACATTTTTCAAATCCATGACCTCGTTCGTGAGGGAGTATATTTTGTGATTCAAGTCTTCAATAATTTTCTCCATTTCCTTCAGCTCGTTTTTGTATTTGTCCACCTCCTCCTGGTTATCTGGTCCAGATGCCTTTTCATTTTTATCCCTCTGCTCATTCTCTGTCTCGTTTATTCTGAGCTCTGTTTGTATTTCCTTCTCAGTTTTGGAGACTTTTCTTTTTTTTCCTTTTATTTTTCGAAGGGGAAATTGTAAAAAGGATTTTAAATTACCCCCTCCTTCTACATCCGACTCGGAGATTTGTTCCTTGTCGGAGTCACCTCTTTCGTCTCCTCTCTTCAACTCGCTTCCCACGTTCTCACTAATCCTGTTTCTGTATTGCTCCTCGGCACGGCGTTTATACTCGCTGAGCTCTTCCGACAGTCTCGTAATTTCATTTTGCTTCTCCAACTGCTCCTGTTCATTCTTAGTCTTGAGCGCGCTAAGCGTTAAATTCAAGCTGTTAATTTCGTCCACGTAGGAATTAATTTTCTCCTCGGAATTGTTTACCTTATAAAACGAAATGGTATCATTCAGGCTGTTTATCCTGCCGGTCAACTCGGCGATTGTGTTGTTGGACTCTTCGATCGTTTTTTCCTTCATCGCCAAATCGCTCTTCATTTTGGCAACCTCTTCTCTGTGCTCTTCTTGCACACTTTCTAATTCTTTCTGTAGCGCCTGTAGGTCTGCCTGATCAGCGGGGTTATTAGCGTTATCCACCTGTTGGGCGCTCATAACATTTTCACTATTCTCCTCCTCCCCAATCGGCTGTCGATTTTTATGCTGCTCCTCATTTTGACCCGTGGTGTCCACTGCACCGGCTCGTTCACTCATCTCACTTATGTAGTCGCCCACCCTTTCGAGCAGCTCATCAACCCGAACTTCATCGCTGTATGGGACCCTCACTTTGGAGCAGATATTCCTGAGGAGGTTCATTTTATCATCATACAATTTGAGGTACTTTTCCTCTGTCTTCAACTTGGACTCCTTCAATTCATCATTTTTTAAAATTAAAACTTGTTCCTTTTCATGCGATTTGACCCGTATGTCATTTAATTCATTTTCAAAACATTTCTGCTTCAATTGCAACTCTTCATCATACTGTTTTATCTTTTTATTGTAGTCTTCCTTCATTTGTTTATATTCCTTTTCCTTTTGACCAAGGACGCTTTTTATGTGGTCCAGCTCTTCTCTCATACTTATGTTCATTTGATTGTCTGTATCTTTTAATTTTTCCTTCAAGACGTTTATTTCATTTTTGTAATTATTTTCAATCTCTGTGATGAGTTTTTCCTTTCCTTCCTTTTCTTCGTTGATGGCGTTCATTTGCTCTTTCAGTTTGTTAATCATATTATCTGATGAGCTTATTTCCTTTTTCAGGGTGTGAATGAGATCGTTCAGTGTGTTTATTTCACAACTGAGTCCATGTTTCTCAATATTTAAAGTTGCAATTTCGCTGTTCAAGGTGTTTACTTTGTTATTTAGCCCTTCCTTCTCGCTGGCCAAAAATTCCTTCTCTTCATTTAGCTTGTTTATCTCTCCATTGAGTGTTTGTTTTTCGTTACTCAAGAGGTACTTCTCCTCATGTACTGCATTCATTTCGACTCGCAGTTTGTTTATCTCCATTTCATAACCACTTTTCATTTCTGCCATTTTACTTTCACTCTCCTCAATTTCATTATTCACATTATTTATTTCGTTCATATAGTTATTTTTTATCTCCACAAATTCTTTCCTTTTTTCATTCAGTTGACTATTTAGTGTGTCTATTTCCTTTGCATATTTTTCTTGCATTTCGTGTAGCTCTCTTTCTTTAATTTTGAGCAAATCGGTGAGGTTGTTCTCTCCACATTCTTCTTCCTTGTTCACCTTTCCTCCATTTTCAACTTGGCTGGATGGTTTATCTTGTGCATCCGCGTCATCATTGGAGGAACTACATTTGGCGATTTCTTTTTCCATTTCCTTTATCTGATCCTTTAACAAGCTAATTTCTCCATCGTACGTATTTTTTAAGTCTAATATTTCCCTCTCCTTCTCTACAAGAGCACTGCTCAAATCTTTTATTTCTATTTTGTAAATCTTCAGCTGACAATCATTCTTTGAGAAGCTACTACGAAGATCATTCAGCTCGCCTTCCATGTGAAGGAAATTATTTTCCCTGGTCTCCACTTCTTTTTCTCTCACTTTCACATCATTTAATTTTTGAACAAGTACATTTTGTTCTTTTTCTAATTCTTTAATTCTTTCTTCAAAATATTTTTCCTTTTCATTTGCCTTCATATCTAGCAATTCAATTACCTTTCTTTTTTCTTCCACATCCTTCCCTAACTGTTCATATATTTTCTCCTTCTCAGTTATCTTCGCGTTAAGAGATTCAATCATTTCATTTTTTTCTCTTATAAATTCTTTCAGCTCCCTCAATGCATTTTCTTTTGAAATTACTTTATTGCTCACATTTTCTAAACACTCCTTTTTGTCTTTAACTTCATATTTTAATTTTTCTAAGGAAATTTTTATGTCTGCAATTTCAAAATGGAGTTTTTCTTTTTCTTTATTTTTTTCCAAATACTCCTCCTGGATGTTATTCAATTTGTCTTCCTTTTTCGAAATGAACATTTCCCTGTCATTAATTTTTTCTTCTCTCATATTTATATCGAGCTCTTTCTCGATCAGTAAATTTTCCTTCTCATTTAGCATGCCAATTTTTTCTTTAATAAAATTCTCCTTCTCCTTCAACTCCTTTTCATACACCTTATCGACTTGTTTATCTTTTTCCATTTTTAATTCTTTCTCCAAGTCCTCAATTTTCGTTTCGTAATTTACAATTTTGGTGGACAAGGACGTGATTGATCTGAGGGTTTCCTTCAGCTGTTCTTCCAATTCATAATCTTTACTTCTTTCCATGGCTCTATTACCATTTGCTTCACTTTCCTCCTGCTTCTCCTCCTCTTGCTCTTTATCATCATGCTTGCTCTTGGTTATAATTGCATTGTCTATAATTTTCTTGTACCAGGAGTTACTTTTTTGATCTTTTTTTTCTCCCTCCTCATTGGCATTTCCTCCTTCATTGTTTTGTGACAGCCTGCTTAACTTGTCCGAGCTTTCTTCCTTCTTTTTCTTCTTAAATTTAAATACCATTTCGTTTGCGTGGGTCAAGTGAAGCCATGCGAACGGGACACATTACCATATGCACATCCAGGGGGAAGTACTCATCATATGCACAATTCACGCAGTCGCCTCTACAACACGTCTGCGCATATGCTGGTGCAGCTGTGCCTCCTCCCTTTTTAATTCCTTTGTGAACACTTCTCCAAAAAAAAAAACAAAAACTGGCATAAAATTACTAAAAATTATGCCAGGGGCAAAATTGTTAAGTACTCAAAAAAAAAATGAAAAATAAAATAACAATGCAACAAGACGGGCCATCGCTGTGGTGTAAACGGGTCGGACTAAATATCGAGGTGACGTTGTGCAGCAGCGGTGGCAGCTTCGGGGAAACAAAAAAAAATGGGGCAAATAAGAAAGCAAATCAAAGGGGCAAACAAACGGTAAACAAATTGACAAACTTTTGCTGCTAAGTAGATCCTGCCACACAAAAAAAAAAGGGAGATCACTCAACTGGAAGCCAGAGGTGCAACAAAAAGGGGAGGGAAGAATTGAGCGACGCGTAGGCACCTATTCCCACACACATGCCTGCCACGTATGCATATGTATGTGTGCACGTGCGCTCTCACATATCTGCATTTCCCTGTACACATTTGTGCACACAGGTAATTCACTGGGACAGAAATGGGACGGCCAAACGAAGGACGCAGGTTTTCCAATCGGGAAAAAAAAAAAAAAAAAAAAAGAATATATTCTAACATAAAATGAGGAGTTATCCTCTAATACATTTATTTATTAATCAATCCGTGAAATTTCACGAAAACGAAACAATTCTCACTATGTAGAGATGACGCGAAAAATTAAAAATTTAAAAAAAAAAAAAAAACTTAAACTAAAAAAGGGCACAAAAACGAATAAAGTTGCATAAAATGAATAAAATAATAAAATGGAATAAAACACAGAAAAGAAGGGGATTCAAAAAAAGGAAATCAAACATATATACCATTTATTACATTATAATGATAAAACGTGAAAAAGAAAAAAAAAATAAATGTACACCATACTGCTAAAGTCGCTGCTGTTATGATGATATTAAGCCAAGTGAACAGCCAAATTTAATCCTCAAAAAAAAAAAAAAAAATAAA